AATATTTTTTCATATGTATTGTATTGTATTGTATAATTAACTAGCATTACCCGCGGCTCCGCGCTCCGCCCGCGTTCATCTGAACGCGGGCGGAGCCGCGGGTTTTTGCTCATCTGAGCAAAAACCGCAACCGCGAAAAATGCGATAAAAGACAGACAAAAATTCTAAAAACTATATATTCGGCCTCTGTATCGATAATAATCCTTATTTCAATAAGATTTTCCAAAAAATATTTAATGTACAGATTCGGCTTTTGTTACAATTTTATTATAGGTATATTATACTCAACTTAATGTATCGAGATCAACAGTAGCTTGACGTGTTGCTCTTCGGCCCATAGCTATTTGCATTACTTGTTCTTTAAAGCAAAAAACATGTCGAGTCAAAAGTTATCCCTTTTCAAGCAAAAAGGGGCTTTATTACTTTTCTAAATTTAGACAATATCTATACATACTCGTATAATAAAATTGTAACTAAGCCGAATCTGTACAATAGATATTTTTTGGAAAAGCTTATTGAAATAAACATTATTATCGATAAAGAGACCGAATCTATAGTTTTTAGAATTTTTGTCTGTCTGTCTGTCTATCTGTCTGTTACAGCGTCACAGAAAAACCACTCGAGGGATTTTGATGAAATTTGGTATGGTGATAGATAATTTTCCGGGTCAACTAATATAGGATAATTTTTACCGCGGGAAAATATCTCATTACTGAGAAAAAAAATACAAAACTGCATTGTAAGAGCATACTAATATGTAAAACCTTAGAATTTGGTTTTTGGTCATGTGAACGCGGGGGGAGCCGCGGCCAATGCTAGTGTCACTCTATTAATCGTTGGAGGGTAGTAATTTCAAAAAAAATTATCGTCATTTCAGAAGATCATAATATGTCATCCTCATATATTATTTTTGATTTTTATTCTTAAACAATTATAGAATGACATTTTGTTTCCACCCCTAGAATAGCCCGAATTAGTGCTAACCAATTTATTGGTATGAGATGGGTTGGCTATACTAATAACACAGTATAAAATACAGTAAGTGATCGTGTATTGATTTTAATGGAAGTATTGTACGTAATACAGTAGTAGGAAGTATTTATTTTAACTTTAAGACTTAAGTATTTATTTTTACTTAACGTAAATATAAATACGTATATTTCTTTCATATATTTCACGTGTGTTTTTTATATTAATAATAGATTTTACAAAGTATACTTAACAATAGGATATTACTATTTAGGTACAAATAAAACAGGGCAGAAATTATTAATGCAAATAAATACGTCTTCCTTGCAAAGCGAGTCTTAAGAATCTCGCTCCAACTGGTTTCTTTATAAACTGTGGTTATTCTATTTATAGCTCTTGTACAACTTGACCAAGGGCTATAAGTTCGATTTCCACTCTAATCTTAGCATCGATGATATCGAATTATTTTATTGTTACTCGAATTACATTTAATTGTTGCTTGAATTTATTTTTAATCGATAATCGTGTTAGTTACAGTGCACACACAATCTAGATACAGATGATTAAAATTAGAGTGTCTCTTTGTAATGTAAAAATAAAAGCTTTTTACTAAATGAAAAAAAAATACATTTTTTTAAGATTTTTGTCGGTCTGTTTGTTCCGGCTAATATCTGAAACAGCTGGACTGATTGTGACGGGACATTTACTGGCAGATAGCTGATGTTATTAGGAATGAATTAGGCTACTTTAATTTTAGAAAAAGAATTAGGGTTCCGCTCAAATTGAAATGTAGCTAGGGACGCATCCGAACGAAGCAAGGTTAAGTCACTAGTCGAAGTTAATAAAAGCTTATTTATTACATATAGGTACATATAAGCGATATTAAAACGTTTTATATGAGAAATTTCATAAATTTAATAGTGACAGTATATTTTGTATGAGACTATCTCTCGGGATCGTTATTGATATCGTCTCAATATAACACTCACACACGGCACATCAACTATATGATAAAAAAATCACCTCGGTTCCTTGTCGCGCTAAAGGAGACTAACGGCGGTTCTCAATAACCTATCAGAAGTTTTCCTTTGTAGGGATAGGCATTTGAAATATGCCCCATAAAAATTATTTTAAATTCCTATCGCTAGTAAGGAAAAACAAAGATAGACTGGTTATTGGGAGGACAATATACCAATAATATAATACTGTAATAATATTTTTGCATTTGTACTATCTTCCTTAGACCCGGAAGCTTATTTTTATACATACATTTCTAAATCAAAGTCCATTGTGAAATCAAATTGGATAAATTAATTTATAATTTATCCAAGCTTTCCAAATGTGATTGAATTGCCAATTTTATTACAGCCATCCTAGTTTTCTTAAACTTATTGGTATAACCACAGATCATATAACACTATACTAACAAAACAGTTTTGCATACTTTATATTTTACTAGCAACTTACCCTCGCTTCGCTTGGATTCGTCCCTAGGTACCTTTTGACGCTTAACATAGAATAGTTTTTTTCGTGATTTTTTTCGATGTTTTAATAGTTATTCTGCTATTCGGGGTGTAGACATATCCAACAAAACAAAGATCATAAAAAAATCGGTCCAGCAGTTCTCGAGTTATCAGTGTTGTAACAAACTCGACTTTGTTTTATATATATGGGCATAGATTATTATAATGTTTGATTTTTCAATAAAAATCTTACCACCACGTGTCTGAATTAATTGATATTAAAATAATTTCATATCTGGGACATGGTTGATACTCTCACTAATGCCAAAAATCTAAATCAAAATCTGTAGTATGTTCCTTCGGTCCCTGCCTGGCCCTCGCTGCAGTCGGATAAAAAAACAAAAAAAGATAAGTAAAATTAAAAAATAAATATGATTAGTTAACTTTTATTGACTTACTTCTGAAAAAGGAAGTTCTCAATTAGTTTGTATTTTTTGGAGTGAATATATTCGCAATTATGAATCGATTTTCATTCTGAATTATAAAATCGTTCCCAATTTCAAAAAACCTAAGGTGCAATAATTATTTTTAAGTGAATTTGAAGTGAAATTACTTTTTTCATTAAAAACTAATTGTTACTACATACTTTAAATGCCTTAATTATTGCCTCTTATGCATATCACAAGTACCGTACTCAAAACTGTAATAATATTATTAGTTAAAGCTACCTACCGCACCTACCTATTTGATAAAACTAAACGCGTTCTTGGTGACATACAAACAAATGCTATAATTATTTGTTCTTGCCGCAACCTTGATAGCAAAAATAGCTCATAATCAGCGTAAGAACAGGCATTGTATGCGCGGACGCAGATATAAATATGCACAATGTGTTCTTTGGATGTTAAAGTGTACTTATGGTTTTTGTTTTCATTAAACAGTTGATATCGTAATTTATTTGTACTATCGCATATTCTACATTATACGTATTAAAATCTCTCTACTTCCAAATATGTCGAGATTGTTGACTAATGTTGTATTTAGTTTAATTTTTAAATATGTTGTATTCAGCCCTTTTTAACGTCCCACTGCTGGGCACGGGCTTCCCTTTAGTACGAGGGGGATCAGTTAATAGTCACCAAGCAGACCAAGTGCGGGCGGACTTCACATGTCTTTCGAAAACTTGCTAGATTGATCTCAGACATGCTGGTTTCCTCTTAAGACAAGTGGTAATCATGTTGGAAATGGACATGGAAATATAAGAGGTCCGAGACCGGGGATTTGGACCCGCTTCACTCAGTTTTCCAAGCACTGGGCTACCACTGCCTTAATTTCTAAATGTATTTATAAAAAATATATAATAATAGATTCCTCTTAAACGTCCCGCTGCTGGGCACATCTCTTCCCTCAATGTTAGGTGAAGTTTATTGTATTGTATGACTTATACATATAGCTTTAGTCTAGAAAAATAACTTTGATAATAATTGTGTTAAAAAATAAAATTCTACCAAGACTTCCATACAAATATGACACGGGCCCGAGAAAATTCTTGAATGACGTTATTGCCAATTTTGTTGCAATAAACTGTTAGAATATAAATGAGCCTTTACACGAAAGCGATCGTATTTACGCAATTAATAGTAATAAAAATATCTTTATTGACTTAAATACAAAAGGGTTTCAACTTACAAGACATATTTCATAAAAAGTATAGTGCAATTTTTGTTTAAGTACACTAACGTCTAAACTAGGCCGAGCCCTGTGTCTTAGACGCTAGCCTCTTCCTATTACACAATTTATTTATTTATTAAGCTAATAAATGAAGTGACATACATACATAATACCTACTAATATATATATATATATATATATATATATATATATATATATATATATATACATACATATGTTATACAATCTCAACAATTATAGGATACATTAGCGTAGATAGTTTATTAATTTAAATTGTCAGCGAACGATGATTGATACGACGGTGCTAGCGGGTTCTATATCTGTATGACTTGAGACATGATAAATTATAAACTTATACTCAGGTTGCTTAGATAACATTCTAAAATCCATTACGAATAGAAATTAAAAAATAATATAATATGACATTATTATGAAATATTTTGAGATAACGCTCTTATTTTAATTTGAATACTTTTTCTGTTCGTGATCGATTGTCTCTTATAATTTAATAAGGCCACGGTATATTAATGATATATTATAAACTAGCATTGCCCGCGGCTCCGCCCGTGTTCAGATGACCAAAAACCAAATTCTTAGGTTTTACATGTTAGGTTACTCTCAGAAATGAGACATTTTTCCGCGGTAAAAAGTACGGATAACCAGCTATCACCATACCAAATTTCATTAAAATCCCTCCAGTGGTTTTTCTGTGATGCGGTTACAGACAGACAGAAAGACAAAACATCTATAAACTATAGATTCGATCTCTGTATCGATAGTAATGTTTATTTCAATAAGATTTTCCAGAAAATCTTTAATGTTCAGATTCCGCTTAGTTACAATTTTATTATATGTATAGATAATATTTTGTTACAGTGACACAAAAGACAACAAACCTGCACGTGTTGAATGCGACACTGGATGAACTTGACGTATCCCAGTCGGTCTTCAGACGACTCACCTCCATGGCTCTTACCGATGGGAACATCGGCAAAATTATTGGTAAGGTCAGATTGGATTTCATATTAAACTCTTCATTCTCTTTCTGATAAATACATTTTATTTAACATTAATTAATTATTAGGTAATACTTTATTAGATTTACGCGAACATTTGACATTTTAAATTTTAAATTACATATTACTTTCTTAGATTTACGCGAATATTTGACATTTTCGCGGATTTATTTTTATTTTTGGAACCAAAAATCAAAATAAATCCGAAATAATCCGAAAAGATAGTTTTATTAAAAATACATAACACATCATTAAATTTGAGACCTTTGAGAAGTTTAAGACCATGATTGCTATAAAGCATTCGAGAATCAAAAATCAAAAATGAAAATAAATCCGCGTAAAAACAGGAAAAGTTGTTTAATTATAATTAGACGTAAAATCTTCTATGCCGCATAGTAAGGGTAAAATGAAATTTTTATTTTGTAAAATAAATACGTCTAAAATTTGAGAATTCGTCTTTAAAATAATAAAAACAGACTAAGAAATACGCATAAAATCAGGAACCGTATTTTGTTCGCAGAAGTAAATTATTTGTGACATCACTATTTATCGAGTCATTGTTTTTAAAACTCTTTCGTATACAATTTTCATTAAGCTAGATTTGTTGTTTGTTTATTTTACGCAAGCCGTGGATTATGAGGCGGAGTTAAAAAGATATAATGGCAGTAAGTGATGAAGTTTATTATTAAGTAGCCTCTACGTGACAAGATAATCCTTAAGACTACATAAATTTACCAAAAGTCCTTAGTCCAATATTATTTCTCACACATTTAAAGTGTACATGATAGTAGTAACTTTAGGTAAATGTTATAAAGAATGTTTGATTTGACGAACAGACAAACATAAAATAGAGATATTTTTTTACTCCACTCTAGTTAACATTCCTTAAGTTGAAATATAAAATATTGATTACAATTTGTTATTTAAAACTTAGTTACGCACATTCTGCATAAATCTTACTTATGATTTCCATGCATATACTGATATTTGATACATGTATAAGAACACAGTCTTGACTTTAGTAAGAACTTTTAAAGTACTATACATATGTATAATAATACTAGTTACAATTCAACTTTTGGATAAATTTCTCAGAAATGAGTTATTCTCCCGTAGTAAAAAGTATCCTATAAGTTGACACGCTGTCATCATACCAAATTTTATCAAAATCTGTCCAGTGGGTTTTACGTGATACGTTCCCAGACACACACACAGACAAAAATTCTAAAAACTGTAGATTCGGCCTCTGTATCGATAATAATGCTCCCGCTCCATGGCTATCACCAGTGATCAAAAGAACTATGGGCAAACGTGATAAGGCTAAATCCAGGTACAAAAGGCACCCATCTGCCGAAAATCTTGATGCATATAAAAAATTACGTAACATCTGCAACAGAATGTGTAGGGATGCCAAACGCCGCTATATTCACACAACGATTCAGGATCTTTGTCAAGCGCAAGTTTGGAGATTCCTATTGTCACTGGGTGTGGGCAAGGCCCCAGAAACTTGTCAAAGTTCTGTGGATCTCAATGCTCTAAACTATCATTTTACCACTCCCCCTATCACTTTAGATTCGCATACAAAAACTGAAACACTTTCATTCTTATCGAACCTTGCTCCCCCTGACATACCACCATTCGTCTTTGAAACAGTCTCAGTAGATGATATAAAGAAGTGTGTCCGCTCTATTTCTACAAAAGCCATCGGTAGTGACGACCTCAGCCTTGACATGGTGCTTCCAGTACTGGAGGATATTGCACCTGTGATTACTCACATTATTAACTTTTCATTCACAAGTAATGTCTTCCCGTCATTATGGAAGAAAGCCTTCGTTATACCACTACCTAAGTCCTCGAATCCTACGTGCCTCACTCAATACCGTCCTATATCGATCCTTCCTATCCTATCCAAAGTCATAGAATCCTTGGCTCACAACCAACTTTACTCCTATCTGTCACTCAATAACCTCTTATATACTATTCTTTATTGCACTTATATGTAAAATACAGAGAGTAACGAACAATAAAATTAGTTAGCAAAGGTGGTCTTATGCCCTTTTCAGTCCGGTTTTCGCTCATCCCACAGCACGGTTGGGGCACTGCTAAATATTACAGAGGATATTCGTCACGCAATGGATAACACCAAGCTCACCGTGATGGTGCTGCTAGATTTTAGCAGTGCTTTCAACTCAGTTGACCTTGACATTCTTATTGGAACTCTCCGCGCGGTCAACATTTCTCCTACTGTTATAGACTGGTTTCACTCTTACCTATTCGGACGTCAGCAGTGCGTGAAAACTAACGATACATCATCGGATTGGTTAGATCTTACTGCTGGTGTACCTCAAGGCGGCGTACTTTCCCCTTTACTCTTTTCTATCTTTATTAATAACATATCAAAAATCATTTCTTCTCCCTTCCATCTGTATGCAGATGACTTACAGTTATACCGACACTTTGAGCTGACCGAGTTGCATGAGGCTATTGGTGCATTAAACTCGGACCTTGTTGAAGTTCAGTTGTGGGCTGAGTCTTTCGGCCTTCTTGTGAATCCCACCAAATCGCAATGTATAATTTTTGGCAGCAGCAGACTGAGGTGCAAAATCGACTGGAACTCAATACCTCAAGTCCAGTTCTCTGGCGTTCCAATCCCTTATTGTAATAAAGTGAAAAACTTGGGCCTAATAATGGATTGTAACATGACCTGGGTAGCTCATGTCAACGAGGTCAGCAAACGAATGCATCACACGTTCCACTCTCTCAAACGTCTCCAATTTTTTCTCCCTTTTACAACCAAGATTATGCTAGCGCAATCACTCCTTCTCCCCATACTTGACTACGCCGATGTGTGTTATTTAGATGTGACTGAGGAGCAACTCAACAAATTAGAGCGTCTCCAAAATCTCGCTATACGCTTTATTTTTGGCTTGCGTAAGCATGACCATATATCAAACTTTCGTGCTCAACTTAAATGGCTCCCAATCCGCCTTCGCCGTGATATGCACATCCTTTCGTTCCTTTTCAATATTCTTAATGACCCTAATTCTCCTTCATACCTCCGTTCTCGTTTCCAAATACTCCCTACTCCTTCACGTTCCAGGCGGCCTTGCATCACTGCGACGCTTGATATACCCAAGAGCAACACAAAGTTCCTCTTGCATTCTTTTTCGGTGTATGGCGCATTGCTCTGGAACAAACTTCCTAAAGAAATCCAACTTAGTCCCTCTATTGATTCTTTCAAAAAAAAATTAAAACAGCATCTTCTCACTCAATTAAATTAAAAATTATCTTAATTACTATTATTATGTATTGTATTATATAGATATGTATTTATGTAAGTAGTAGTGTGTATGTATATATGTATATAAGTATGTATGGTATAAGTAAGTAGTGTATATTATATGTTATTATATATATTATTTAATTAGCTATATATTTTTGAGTATCTATATATTATTTATATAACTACGACTGCACGAATTTAGCCCGCTTTGTAACACTATTTCTCACTACCACAGGTTGGCTGGAAGAGATCTCTTCTAGAGATAAGTCCACCTTTGTAAATAACAACTGATTTTAAATTACTGTATTGATTTTTTTAAAGTGCAATAAAGAATAGTATATAATTAATAATTCAATAAGATTTTCCAAAAAAAAATATTTATTTAACAGATTCGAGTCAGAATTTTATTGTATGTATAGAATTATTTATACATTTTTTCATTACAGGTCAGTTCCCCAAATACTCTTCGATCGCATGTTTAAATATCTCCAACAATAACTTGAGTAGTGCGACACTCTCACCCACCATACAAAGGCCCTTCGCGTATCTCTTCACACTAACTCTCTTGGATGCTTCAGCGAACAACCTGACAGAGTTTCCGTTGAGTTTGGTGCAAAGTAATCGGAAAATATCAGTTGATTTATCTGGTAAGTTCAATTTTTATACGATGACGTCGTCATGAACGATTTCTCATCTAATCTTTCTAAGATTAGCCATGCTTACATATATAGTACCTGGGCGACCGAGCTTCGCTCGGAGTTTTTGGACAAAAAAACAAACTAAGAATTTGAATAAATATAAAAAAAAAACAAAATTAAAAACGGGCACAAGCCCGACCGGGATACGAACCCAGACACCTGTGGTTGTCAAACTTGCGCATTATCCGCTTGACCATGATGCTTATGTCTGAGTGTGCGAAATTATCGAACATAATATTTTGCGTGGAATAATGCAAAAGAAATAATAATAATAATAAAGCTTTATTTATTGTATACATGCTTACTTATAATTTTAAATTATAATTACTCTTACTTAATTAACAATTTTTAACATTGTATTTTAACAGATCATATTTATAACTTATTTGATTATATTTAATTTAACTTCACTTTTTGGTTAGTGACTATTTATTAACTTATAATAATTTTGTAATCTGGAATTAAATTATTTTAAAAATCTTTAATATTATTTGAAATGATATTGTATATATATAAATTATCATTAACAAATAAATAAATAAACAATCACAATAAATTAAATAATTCAATTGAGTAAATACTAAACATTTCACAATAATAAATATAAATAAAATTTCTTTCCATACATTAATTCTGACAATAGTTATAAATTAGGTATTTAATTTCATAATTAAATGTATTTATTTAGTAAATGTCTTTTTCATGTATAGACCCCTCTCGGTTAAAAGCCTCCTCCAAAGTACTCCTGCATAGAGCTCTCCGTTGGAGATTATGCTTGTATGATTGCAAAGGGTTTCTTTTCAAATTTTGTTTCCAATATACTATAATTTGTTTCTGATATGCTTATAAAGTATATAATTTTATCTTTCTGTTCTTTTGATTTGTTGTAGGAAATGCTGCTTTTAATTCTAGAAGTTTTTCTGGTGAAGATATGTATTACCTTTGTTCATTGTATGTCTGTTTTTCTTTGGAGGGTTACGGTCGAACTCCCCCACAGTGACCGGCCGTACTGGGGGATAAAAATGAGGAGGTTCCTACTGTGTTTAATATACTGTATCTTGCTGTGTTATTTTTAGTTTTTCCTGGTTATCATTTGTGTGGTTGTAAGTTAATTTTTGTTTTTGTAATATAAAGTCTTTAATATTAGCAGGTTTGGTTTTCTTTGTATGTTGTTTATTTGTTAGTTTTTGTTTATAATTGAGGTAAGGCGTTTCTGAAGATACAGGCAGATTTCTTTTATTTGAGTATTGGCGAGAAGTGTTCTTATTATTATCCACAATAATTAGTTTGTCATATTTAATGAAAGCTGTTTTGCCTAGGTCTTTTTCTTTATCTTCAGTTGGGCTTGTAACTCCTTGCGTTTGTTTAAGACTTTATTTTTTCCTCTAGTTCATGATAGGATTTTTCACCTTTTTCTACTCCGAACATAACCAAGTTCTTGCGCCTAATATGTCTTTCTAAATTATTTATTGAGGATTTTTTTATTTCTAAGTGTTTAAATTTCTCATTTAGGTATATTATTGTTGATTGTATTTTTAATGTCTTCTTTCATTTCTAACATTTCTGTTTTCTGCTGTCTTATTTCTTGTTGTATGTTTATTAGCAACTTTTTTATCTCCTCCATCTTAAGTGTGAAGTCGGAAGTAGAAAAGCTGATTGAAAAAGAGCACCAATTATACCTAGTTGAATTGCAATTTTATACAGAGTATTAGTTTTTGAGGTTATAAACTTATGTTTTAATATTTTACGCTTCCACTTCACAAATTATTTTGTTTTATTGTCATCACACACAGAAAAGATGGTTTTGCAATGATAGTATCTGTATGTTATGTTTCTCACTTTTGTATTTGTTTGGTAGGTGAATTTTTAAAAGCTCATTTGTTCTTCAACACATCAAGACTTGGTGATGTGTACCTACATATTGCCCATAGGTTTTATCGATTAATATTTCTTAAAATTATTATTAAATTAATTAGAATTTTCTTTAGATTATTTTCACTTAAATATTTTTAAACTTGATGTAAATACGGACATGATATTGACAGTTGTACAGTTGTGAAGTGACAACTGACAATGCAAAAATTGTGAAAATGCAAAAGAAAACCGCATGAAAATTCGAAAACACGCGTTTTTTCAGACATAAGACTAATCTAGATCGATTTATCGCCCCTGAAACCCTTTGTATACTAAATTTCATGAAAATCGTTGGAGCCGTTTTCGAGATTCAGATTATATATTGAGAGATATATATATATATATATATATATATATATATATATATATATACACATACAAGAATAGCTCGTATAAATATATAAGATATATACCCATATAATGGTGCATACTGCATAAGTATCTCTTGTAGTTTTAATGTGTCTATCTCTTCATTTCTGGCAAATAAACTATTAATTAGAAATGCAACAAAAAGTATGTCTGCACAATTGTACTTTACTTCTTTCACTCGTAAACTCCGGTGAGACAAAAATTCGACATCAGGGAGAGATCAGGCGCAGGAATGACTGCTTTACGTTCTCTCCTAAGCACGGGGGTGAAACAAACTTTCCAACAGTGGGCTGCTGTTAGATTTTTTTATAGAAAAACCCAATAACTACAACTGACCTGACCTGGGATTCAAACCCACGACCTTCAGATCTGCAGCCGTACATGTTAGCCACTGTGAGTGTTTTTTAGTCTCGGTGAGATTTACAGCCGTTGCCGAAATCGTTCAGGAGAACATTACTATTTAATTTGAATCAATTCCGTAGATTTCTTTTTCTCATATTCTCTTACAGGTAACAACTACCTTCCCTGCAAACATTTTCTTAAAGCGATGGAGACGAATAACAACAGTTCGCATGTGACGTTTCTAAACTATAACAATACGTGCTGCGCCTTGGACCTGAGCTTTAATTGGTTTAAGGATGTCAAAATAGTGCAGATTGATTACTTGCGTGTTCAAAAGGCGGTACGTGTTTATTGATATTTTAGATTTTTGAAGTTATACTTCTTTTGGCACGTTTGGAAAAAAATATGAGAGTAAAATTTTTACGATGCGCGCGCACACCGACAGCCAAAAAGCGACATGATGAAGTTAGCAGAAAGCGACATGTGAAGTTAGCTGCATTCCTTTTACAAATAGAGAGTTGTGACATCCCGGGATGAAATATTAGCGGCTATTTTTGGGAGTAACAAAAACAGTTTAAAATGCTAGAAGGTTTAGTAAAAAGTTTTTTAAGTAGTTTCACAATATAAAGACAGTGATATGATCTAAATGATCAAAACTTGGCCTTTTACGTAATTATAGTTAAACTAGCGACTTAATTTCTGCTAGGGTACGTCCCTAGGCGCTTAGCAGTAGCTCACATGTTACTCCAGCTCGGACTATCTATGTGCTAAATTTTATCCAAATAAGTCCAGCCGTTACTGCTTGAAGGAGTTATAAACAAACACACACACATACAAACTTTCACGTTTCTAATAGTATCTAGTTCAATTATAAGTATTTTATATACATGCTTTCGCCACTTCTTCTCAGATCGGAGCATCGATCAAAAAAGTACTAGATACACAATCCCATGCAAAAGTTCTCTTAGAACTGTCACCAATTCTATTTTGGTATTTATTCTAGTTGAAATAAATATACAACAATGTAAATTGGACCTTAAATGTTTTATCGTTTAACTTTCCTTAACTTAAAGTTGTTTTCACAAAAAAAAAACGCACTTAAATGTTCATATGAGCGCTCATTCGGTGAGGACATTTTTTGTCGCTGATTGTGTATCTAGTACTTTTTTTGATCGATGGGTCTGAGGTTTCTTTCCAAACACGTAGTAGACTTATGACGATCAGTAAAAAAATATAATAATGCTAAATAAAATATTTTGAATTTGAATAGTTAAACGTGAGCTGCAGAAACATAAAGCCCGCGAACGCAAATTGTACTTGTATCGGGGACCGGTTGGAGGTAGACGGGGATGGGGAGGTAACTAACTCAGTAGCAGTGGACTGCTCCATGAGGGACTTGAGGGAGATGCCCACTAACCTGCCACAATACACCGTCAAGCTGAATGTCTCTCATAATCATGTAAGTAATGGCTTTCATTACTATTTGACGACACTTTTGGCTCAGTTTGTAGTGACCCTACTTGCTGTGCCAGCGGTCGCGAGTTGGAGTCCCGCTGGGGACATTCGTTCATGTGATGAGCACGAACGCTTGTACTCGTCATGGGTGTTGTTTATATTTATAATATGTATGTATTTAAAGTTATATATGTGTAGTGTATCAACTATCTGGTATCCATAACACAAGCCTCGTAGCTTTAATTATGGAACTAGTCACTAGATGGTGTTGTGTATTGATGTTCCAACATATTTATATTTTATATTTTTAACGCCCGACGCAAAATGGGAGGTGTTATAAGTTTACCGTGTGTATCTATGTGACTGTCCGTGGCTTCGTAGCGCCCAAACCGATGAACCGATTTTAATTTAGTTTTTTTTTTAAAGATGACTTGATTTATCAATCAATGCTTTATATTATTGATTAATTAATACTTATTTAATACTATATGATATGCACAGATAACGTCTCTCCAAGCAGTCTCGGACGACCAGACGTACGAGCACCTGCGCTACCTGATCGTGGACCACAACGACATTGACAGCTTCGTGGGGCTGGAGGGCACCAAGTTCATCGACAACTTCATGTCTTTCTCCATCACTAATAATAAACTTAAAACGGTAAGCGAACATACTCAGTAATACGAAATTCGTTAAATTTGAAATTCGAATGTAGAATGTTCTAAATTCAAAATTTTAATATATTTGGAGATTCTGAATAACTTTTCATTTTTTGAGATTAATAATTAAAAAAAACTAAAAAAACGTACATATACCTAATAAAGGCAGTGGTAGCCCAGTGGTAACGCGCTCGCTTGGGAAACCGAGTACAACGGGTTCAAATCCCGGGTCTCGCACCTTTGATATTTTCACGTGCGAATAATTTTCCAACATGATTACCACTTGTCTTAACGGTGAAGGAAAACATCCTGAGGAAACATGCATGTCTGAGATAATCTAGCAAGCAGCGTGGTGGACTATAGCCTGATCCCCCTCGTATTGAAAGGAGACCCGCCCCAAGCAGTGGGACGTTAAAAAAAGACTACATATATTACATAATATAATATTATATATTTATATTGATAATTCTTATCTCCCATCATTTTAAATATTAAAAAAAACCTTAGTTCACGCTAGTCTTAAGCCAGATTCGCACTTGACAATTTTATTTGTTTTTTTTTTAGATCCAGTCATACGTGATGTCTAATAGGTTCGTGACGAAAGGTCCGTCCTTTTCCATCGGAGGGAATTACATACACTGTGACTGCAATACTGAGAAGGTTTTGAAGGTAAGTTAAGAAAAGTTAAACGATAAAATAAAAGCAGAAAACAATATAATATTAGTATTTATTTGCAATCAGCAATGTTATTTGATAGTGTTATAGAACTAAACATGAAACCAAACAATAATGTTTTAAAGTAGTATATTAATAGAATATTTAATTACCGTGATAAGTAAATAATTGTTATTAAATAAAAATAGTTAAGTTAGTAGCTAAAAATTAAATAAGCTACTATTATGCTAACTCTCTTTCCCTTGAAAGAGAACTAATACTTAAAAATATAAAAGAATATAGTATTATTTTTATTACTCACTAGCATTGCCCGCGGCTCCGCCCGCGTTCAGATGACCAAAAACTAAATTCTTAGGTGTTACATATTAGTATACTCTTACATTGCAGTTTTTGTATTTTTCCTCAGAAATAAGATATTTTCCCGCGGTAAAAAGTATCCTAGGATCGCGCGCTACATCGCCCGGTTTATATAGCTTGAGCAGGCGGTCGAGCGATGCGGGGCAGAGGGGATGGACTCGCCGTAGGCATCTCAATGCTCGCCAAGCATTAAAAATGTTTCGCTACTAATTACTTCTAACAACGATATCTCAAAAACTATTCATCTGATTGATTTAGTGTAAAGAGCAATTTTAATCTGCATTAAATGACTAAGCTAACTAAAATATTCATTTGGATAAGGATTAATACCGAACTAAAGAAAATAACTTTGAAAATAACGTAATGTTTTTAATTAAAAATGTTAACATAAAAGTGGTTATTGTAAGTCAACCGTAAGAGATAGAGATATGCTATCGCGGACTTTTTTGTAGCATTTTTATAGATTTTGAATTCTCTAGTACATTACTTAACTGTATCTTTGCTAGTTTACGCGGCGTTCGCGTGGAAAGTTCCCATTTGGCGAGATTTTTTGCGACCTCTTCAACATTTGTCGCCGTATTTCAGCTAATTTACATAAAAGCATAATAAATTATATACCTAAACCTTCCTCAAGAATTACTCTTTCTATTGTTGAAAACCGTATAAAAATCCGTTCAGTAGTTTTCGAGTTTATCGCGTACAGACAGACAGGAGGACAGACAGGAGGACAGAAAGACGCGGCCGGGGGACTTATTTTTATAATAAGTATAGATAGATATTTTATTTTAAAAAATTATAAATTAACAACTAATACTTATAAAAATTTGCCTTATTTTTTTAAAGAAAATAAATAATCTGTATGGCAAAATCTAGAATAGTAGCATAACCAGCAAAACACGTTACTATTTTTGACTTTTTTTTGACGCGCTGCTATATAATTCCTTATCCTGGTACTTATAATTATCTTATTTTAATTTTTATTACTAATATTATTTTTAGACTCTGGCTTGTTGTTTACAGAAATGCAATCTAGAAATCTATTAAGTAACTTACCTATTTTAAATAAAACTATCTTTTCAGATTTTTCAGTCGGATTTTTCTGTAAAGCATTCGAAACGTCGGGAACCAAAAATCCAAATAAATCCGCGAAAAAATCTGAAAAGATAGTTTTATTTGAAATGTCAAATATTCGCGTAAATCTAAGAAAGTATAATGTACCTATATTATATAGTATATATCTTTATATAGTTTTTTTTACTTATGATAAATAGATAGTGTTAATACGTAATACATAAAAAATTGAGACCTTATGAGACTTATATATATATTATTACGATATTTCAGCCATGGCTGTTAGAAAATTCTAAAAACATCCCCGATTACAAGAGCTTGGCGTGCGAGGACAACATGGGGCCGGTCGTGGATCTTAAGGAAGTGGAGGTAACCATTTGTGTTAATACTTGTATTTGCCCCTTTTTTTATCGTCCCACTGCTAGGGGTGGGCCTCACTTCAGTACGAAGGGGATCAGGTCATAGTCCACAACGCTGACCAAGTGCGGGCGGACTGTGCATGTATTACGAAAACTAGCTAAGTTCTCTCATACATGTAGCTTTCCTCATGATGTTTTCCTTCACCGTAAGACAAGTGGTAATCATGTTAGAAATAATTCGCACATGAAAATATCACATGTGCGAGACCCGTGATTTCAAACCGCTTCACTCGATTTTCCAAGTAAGCATGTTACCGCTGGGCTACCACTCGGTCTAAATATAAATTTACAACGAAATATTATCATAAGATGTTTTAAATTTTATCTTTATGTACGCAGGTTTGTCACACCCCGAGGGACTGGACGGACTATATCTACTACATAATTGGACTAGAAGTGTTGGTACTAGTGCTCCTAGTTAGCAAAGTGTCATACGACTACTGGGTGTTTAAAACGGCGGGCTATCTGCCTTGGCCGGCCAATAAAATGCCTAGACTCCCCTGTGATTGGTTGTGTGAGTGAACAAAAAAACAATTTTTACAAATAGTCCAATATGTGCAATGGAGTATAAATCTTATTTATAGTCCGATTTTTTTATAATGAACTAAAGGGGTGCTTGTTATTAATCCCTCCACGGACACGCCACCGTGTCAGTTAACAATAGATTTCTTAGAATTTTAATTAATTTCTTAGAAAAACCTGGAGGTGTTAAATTGGTGGATGTTTTATATAGTCTGTATTTGATTGGACTATAATTGTGATTTAAAAATTATAAATGTTGTAGTCTAAAACGGCTAGAATTCTTAAATTTAATATTCAGTCGCTTCTAAAATGAATATATGAATGTACATGTGCACGATATTTATCGAATGTATTATTCATTATGTTTTATCTGTGATGAGTTTTGTTGAAATACTATGAATTCTAATTTTCCAGACTATTTTTATATTATGAATCAATAGTTATTTTTATTTTTAAATTAATATTCTCGTATACGGAATTTATTTAAAAATTATTTATATATGAATATATAAATAGGTAGAATATGTAAATGTATCAAGTTTTGATTTTGTTATGTAATTTAATTTTGTAATTCAAGTGTTAAAAGTCAATACGTTGAATTAAAAAAAAATTAGACGGTGCCTTGAAAACGTGCCAAAAAGAAATTTTATACAATTATTACGTTAAAAATATGTATTTTTTAATTCGAAAGATAATCAAAAAGTCTTTTGCTTTTAAAGCACTCGAAAGGTAATTAAATAAATTACATCGCCATTTTATATTTTATCATGTCACTTAGTTTAATTTCAACATTAAAATATGAATGGAATCAAAGATTTTTGTACCTATATTTACAACTAAGATTTAAAACTAGTTTAATTTTATAATAAGTTAATTTCTTTAGAATTATCTCGAGGAATGAAGCACAGAAGATGTAGCCATATAACTTATTTGTCCTTAATTATAAAATATTATGTTACATAATTAATAGAAAATTTAAGTAAACCGGGGGAAAAAATTATAAGGCTGTGTGCTATTCGTCCGAGAATCGGATAAATAAAAAAAAACATTGTTCGTTCGACTGTTGTCGGTTTGTATGAATATCTACCACTTTTTTGTTTTCTAATGTAGAACAAGATGCAAAAAAAAAATTACCTTAACTACCGAGCTAAAAACTTATTTTTTTATATCTCAACGATTTTTAAGTTCAAGAGTTTTTATGTGTAAAAAAAGAAAAGCGCCCTACACCTACGCAGCTATAAACGGTTTTTAATAGGAGAATATTACTGCGTTATAATAAAACGAATATAATTCTAACTTATCGGGCGATAAAGATTTTCAATTTAAGTCCATTCGATCATATTCGAATTTTAAAATTTTAAATATCGATATTTTTAAAATGTATGTAACTTGATAAGTTAGAATTGTCTTTTATAAAAATAAAAAAAAACAACAATAATTGCACTCGCAATATATCACACACCAACCAGTCGGACGAATAATATATTTTTTATTCATCCGACTATCGGACGAATAGACACAATCTAAAAATAAATCATAATAAAAAAATTCGTGTAACGTTCAAGCGCGGTTGAAATTAAAACTTCTTTGGTGCTGTGGCAGATACCGCAATTAAATTTAACTTAACAATAAAATAATAAAAATAATTAAATTTAAAAAAAAGTCAAAATATAAATGTCTTTTTTAAAATTGTTAATAATAAATTTGACTCACTTCCGCGACACTCATTTTTCCAATGTATTGACTCTCTGCAGTCACGCCTAAAGGAGTTTTAGTTCAAAAAATCTTTTGGGCAGAATAATTTTACACCTTTGCTATGTCAGTTATAATCATGGTTTATTTCAATGAATAATTTTAATTTAAAATTAATAATTATCAGAGCTTTAGTTCATTTCTATCATAACTTAAAGTACAACGTTATTTTGTATATACATGTTCGAAGATAATTAATATAAAAAATGAATTACAGATTTGATAGTTTAAATGATTTTATTTGTATCGATTTTTTATTATATATTATGTGAATGATATAACTAATTTTAAGTAACAGAACTTACGGCGAGGAGACAGTTTTAAAAATTATCTTTAATTTGTTTTTTTATCAAACATTTTAGTACATTAATACCAAAAACAGATAACAACGATAATAATTGCAGAAATTAATAAACTGTGTTGCAATTATTAACATTCGCCATCAGCCTAATTATTATTATTTGCAAAACAAGAATCATGCAAATTTAAAAACTAATAAATAAAATAAAAGTAAAGTAACTTAAATCTATACATATAATAAAATTGTAACCAAGTCGAATCTGTACATTAAATATTTTTTGGAAAATCTTATTGAAATAGACATTATTATCGATACAGAGGCCGAATCTATAGTTTTTAGAATTTCTGTCTGTCTGTCTGTCTGTCTGTTACCGCATCACGCAAAAACCACTGGAGGGATTTTGATGAAATACGGTATGACGGTAGCTGGTTATCCGGGTCAACATATTGGATACTTTTTGTTGCGGGAAAATATCTCATTTCTGAAAAAAAATACAAAAACTGCATTGTTAGAGTATACTAATATGTAAAACCTAAGAATTTGGTTTTTGGTCATCTGAACGCGGGCGGAGCCGCGGGCAATGCTAGTATTTATATAATATCAAACTCACATTGTTTTCAGACGTGTGTTTAAAACAACAATAGTGGGACGTAATAAGAAATTATATTATAAAAGTATATGTAAATAGCCACGGCGCGGCGTCTCCATGAATTATGAACAGTGCAATGAGTGTATTACTCGTATATGCAAAGGATTTAATTATAATCAATTGATTAATTTAACTTTACTTAGAAGTACACAAACGGCAGGGCCGAGACTAAAACACCTCAGATGGCGCCACAAGTGTATGACGTGAAAAAAGAATTACATCGGCTCACTTTCGCTTCGGTCAGGGTCGTCCCTAGGGAAAAACAAAAAAGAAATCTATCCCACGGGAACCGCAATTTTTTTCGGAATAAAAGTAGCCTATGTGCAAGTCCAGACTATAATCTATCTCTGTGCCAAATTTCATCCAAATCCGTTCAGCCGTTCTGGCGTGATTGAGTAACAAACATCCATGCATGTAAGGTAGTATTTTTCTATATGAGCGTTTTAATGAAAAAAAATATATTTTTGACTAATGTGACGATGTACGTATAAAGTACTTACCTCGGGCTATAGGAATGTATTTAAAAAAGAAAATAAGACATATCTTCTATATTTCTTGATTTTAATTAATTTTTTTACACGCCATATGCTCGTAGCGCCGTCAACAGTATTATTGGATTCCTAAAAATATGTCAAATTATTGAAAATACACATTACATTTTTTCAATTCCTTTATTAGACTAAAACTGTTTATTGGTGAGATGATATAAAGTTTGTTTTTAATATTAAAAAATGCGTACGTTTTGTGAATCTCTTAGTGTTGAGTTTGTGATGTTTTATTTGAGGCTTAATCAAAATAAGACATAATTAGAATTTAATTGATCGAGTTCTTATTAATTATAGAAAAAATATGTTTTATTATTTCCATAAACCGAACCGAGTTCAAATCCCGGGTCTCGCACCTTTGATATTTTCATGTGCGAATCATTTCCAACATGATTACCACTTGTCTTACGGTGAAGGAAAACATCGTGAGGAAACCTGCATGTCTGAGAGAACCTAGCAAGTTTTCAAAAGACATGTGAAGTCCGCCAACCCGGACTTGGCTATCGTGGTGGACTATGGCCTGATCCCCCTCCTATTGAAGGGAGGCCCACACCCAGCAGTGGGACGTCAAAAAGGGCCGAATACATACCAGTTGTCTCTTTGGAAGTCAGAGACGCGCACTGCTGATAGTAGTGAAATATTTAAATTTTTTATCGTCGGATTCTAATAGCGCGAATTTGTATTTATTTAGCACATGTCTGAAACGATTATAGAAAAATAAAATCAACTGATCATTCATTCAAAGTTTTAATGTCACATTAAAAATGCTAAATTCCAAAATTACACATCGTTTGTGACTTCCTCACACTGCGTGACACACACCGTGCCCAGCAGTGGGACGTTAAAAGTGCTGAATACATTATTTCTATAGTTTGGCTTTTGTAGTGACCTTACTTGCTGTGCCAGTGATCGCGGGTTCGAGCCCCGCTGGGGACATTCATTTGTGTGATGAGCGCGAATGTTTGTACTCCAGTCATGGGCGTTTATATTTATAATATGTATGTATTTAAAGTTATATATATGTAGTGTATCAACTATCTGGTATCCATAACACAAGCCTTGTAGCTTACCATGGAACTAGATGGTGCTGTGTGTTATGTCCCAACAAATTTATTTATTTATAGTTATTTTGAGACTACTTTGGTTATATGGTTTCAGAGTTTAAACACTGAAACGATCGGACAATTGCTCCAATTACCAATTCCTATAATTTAAAAGAACTCGATCAAAATAGATATGTTTATAAACTAGGTATTGTTTGAGGCTTTTCAAGATGTGCCATACCCTGGCGTAGTGTTATTTGTATAGCTTATTTTGTAGTTAGAGTACCTATTTTGTATATAATCGCAATGAAGACTGTATATTTTGTAACTGTTTATAAGAAAGATGAAAGTAAAGGGTTAATTCGTTTTATTGTTGTTTTATTTTAGGATCTGGTTGGTTAGCGTCCTATTCAAAACAGTACCCCTAATTCTGTCCCCTATATATTTTATGCTGTTAGTTTTATATCCTTTACTTGAGAAATGATTGATTCCCCATATAAACTTTCATCTCTTAAGGGATGATTTCCGGGATAAAAACTATCCTATATCCTTCCCAAGGTATCAAACTATTTTCATACCGGATTTCATCAAAATCGCTTCAGCGGATTTTTAGTTTATAAACAAACATACAAAAATCATTTCTTTCTCTTTGAAAAGCAGGGGTTGTAAAAAAAAAAAAACCCCCCCAACGTGCGTTCACCTTGTCGTGGTGGGGGGCGTGTCGAAGCCAAGAAACGCACAGGGAGGTGGCCCGCTTCGGTGGGCGGTGGGAGGCGGCCTTCTTCGGAGGGTGGTGTACCATGCGGGTTGCTCCTGGTACTTCTCTGATAGCAGAGTGGACCGTGGAGCAACCCCATGGTTGTGTGGTCTGCTTCGGCAGACCTGCCGTCGGGGCGTCGTAGTTGAATGCGTAAGCGATCCTGCGACGCCCCATTAAGACAGGGGAAGGTTTTGTTGGGTTTTAGTGGGTAGTACTGGCTTCGCCGGTGAGTCCCACACTTCGTGCGTAAATGCATTTCCCAACGTTAAAAAAAAAAAAAAAAAAAGGGGTTGTAAAAAAAAGTAAAAACATATGAACATGTATTTATTACACTTAAGCACTAGGTTTGGCAAATTTCTTTTTCTGCTTAATCTTTTCTAATTTCTGAGATTTATTTCTATCTTTAGGTTTCTGTCTGTTTCCTTTCATTGGTGGTTTGACTTCGCCATTTTGAATTTTCCTAAGTTTTTTAAATTTGCTATTTTTAACTTTGTCTGTATCTTTCGTCGCTTCTGCCTCAGCATCTTGATCTTCGAGTTTTCGTCTGAAATTATTTTATTAATTAGGAAATTATATCTAGAATAAGTACTCGTATTTAATGTAAGTTTAAAATATCTATACAAATAAATAAAATTGAAGTGTCTGTTTGTAATGTCAAAATAACAGCTTTTTACTAAATACATATAAAATGTATATGCGGTACTTATAAGATTTAAAGTATTTAAAAAAAATGTCTCTCGATTTGTTCCGGTTAATCTCTGAAACACTCTGGACAGAATTTAACAATTCTTTCACTAGCAGATAGCTGATGTCAGAAGAGGTAACTTAGGCTACTTTTATTTTAGAAAATATTGTAACCCATTAAATTGTGAATAAAATCTGATTTAACTATTTTTATCTATTTATATGGTACGTAAGTCGCCAGTTTAACATAATTTAAAGCATTTTATATTTCGTATACAGCTATAAGAATTTATGATTTGTTAAAGTTTTAATTACATTTTTAAAATAAATAGTATGCGAGAAACATAAAATATACACACTTCTCAGGTTTTTCCAATATTGTAGATATCTTATCTCTATGCGGTGCTTTTTTCAACAATTTCTTCCGCTTGTTGGGATTCTGTTTGAGCTTCAACATGTATTCGGGCACTTCGCAGCCGGACTGCTTCATCACTGATGCGATACTGGAATTTAATCATTTGTCGATGAAATTTTCAAGTAATCTTCAGATTAGACCTGTGAAGTTTTGTTGCTATTGGAAGTTTGAACGCGGGCGAAGCCGCGAGTAGTGCTAGTATATAAAAGAAAATGTTAACTATTACAGCAAAAAATAACAATGTTATCTTGTATGGTTTACAAGAATATATAGGAACATAAATAAATAGATGAAACAAAATAACTTTTATCTTAAATTATTTATCATCTATACATATAGTAAAATTCTGAGTGTTGAATATTAAATATTTTTAGGAAAATCTTATTAAAGTAGTCATTATTATTAAACAGAAAATGCGAAAGTTTGGACGCATGGATGTTTGTTAATCCATCACACCAGAACGGATCTGGATGAACTTTGGAACACAGATTATATATATAGTCTGGAATAGCATATATATATATATATATATATATATATATATATATATATATATATATATGCTACTTTTATCTAAAAATGTACGGTTGTCGTGGTATAATTGGTTATGTTTTTCATGTTTTGCGCTAGTGTATGTATATATGACACTATTCAAAACACATACCTTCTAAGATTGACGACGTCATCTTGAGTAAAGAACGTGATGGCCTTCCCACTTTGCCCCGCGCGCCCCGCACGCCCTATCCTAAGAGATTTACATATATGTAATTAATATCCATTATCTCACACCTTTGATATCATTTTCATTGAATCATTTAAAACATGATTACCACTTTTCTTACGGCAAGGGAAAACATCGTGAGAAAACCTGCATGTCTGAGAGAACCTAGCAAGTCTAGCACTTGGCCAGCGTGGTAGACTATGGCCTGAACCCCCTCGTATTGAACGCGGAGGCCCGCGCCTAGCAGAGGGACAGTAAAAAATATTGAATGCTAAATACATACAATATGTATATAGATATTATCCCGTCGTATATAATAGTATACTATCAGATAATATTAAATAAGCAATTCTTGTATACAAATAAGAATTTATTTTGCGTATGTCAGAAAGGGCTCTAACGATTTAGGGCAAATTTCGTATTTAAATAAAGTTTTGCTTTTAAGTTTACCCGGTAAGTATGCTGAAGTCACATGGATTTATGAGGTATGGGGGGACGTCTCTTAGTAAATAACAAAAAGTGTCGTGACGGTCGAAATATTACACTTATTTCCGTCTAAATCTCATTCGCGAAGTATGCCGAGAACAAAATACCCCAATACCTAACATACCTGTGTATATAAGCAATGGCTGAGGGCGGGAAGTCATAATTGATGACTAAATTAACCCCTCGAAAATCGATCCCACGTCCCATCAGCTCAGTACATATCAATACCCAAATACGTCCTGTACGGAAGCTACGCACTACGTTATCTCGCTGAAAACAAGAAATATTATTAATTAGTATTCATTCAATCATTATCATTTTTATATATATATATATATATATATATATATATATATATATATATATATATATATATATATATATATATATATATAACACTAAACACGTAAATAGCTACTAACAAAAATAAAAAAGAAAATCATTTGACAAACAGAGGAGAAAAAGGTACTGAACAGTTTTGCCTTTGCCTATTTATGTATATAGATAAACTAATCAATCACACTATTATACATTTTATAAATGCAAGTATGTATGTATATGTGTGTGAATGTGTGGGCGAGCGTGCATGTGTGTGGGTGTGTGTGTATACGCGTGCGTATGTGTGTATTTTCCATTTTCCAACAGGTACTACAACTACATACATATTATACTACTATAAATAAAGAGCAGTGTTTTGTGTCGACAAGTAAACTAGGGATGCACCCGAGTGAAGCAAGGACAATTGGCTAGTATACAATAAATGTTGCTACCCACCTGCGCCTGCGTCCTGTCCGCGTGTATGACATCTACGTTGATCCCATCGTAAATTAGTTCTTTGAACAGTTGCTTCGCTCTGTCCTTACTTTGAACGAACACTGTAATAGAAGTTAGATTTATAATACTTTTAACTGCCTCCTTTTAAGTAAAACTATGTTTTTGGTTTTTTCGCGGATCTATTTTGATTTTTAGTTCCCGACGTTTCGAATGCTTTACGGCAATCATGGTCACGGGAGAGACTATAGAAGGAAATTTGAACGCGATGGAAGCCGCGGGTATTGCTAGTATAATATAACTTTTTAAATTTTCGCGTTTCATTGTATACTAATGAAACTAAGTCCCGTAGTGTCATTACAAGTAATATAGAAACCTAGTACAGGTGGTTTGAGCCCTTTCTGCACAAGTTGCCTGAAGGCCACCAGCTTGCCGTTCTCGTTGCCACAGAACATCAGCTCCTGCTCCACCGTGCTGACCGCTGCATTCCTACAAAAAATAAGTCAATATACTTATTAGTAGCAGAAACCACGGCTTCGCTCGCGCTAAAACAAAAAATCTCTAAAAAGGTAGATTTCATGCAACTTTCATTGCCTATTAAAATAAAAAGTAGCCTAATACTTTCTTAGATTTACGCGAATATTTGACATTTTAAATAAAACTATCTTTTCGGATTTTGTCGCGGATTTATTTGTATTTTTGTTTCCCGACGTTTCGAATGCTTTACAGCATCCATGGTCACGGGAGAGACTGAGGTGTTACATGTCTTAAAGATATAGTTGTTACAGACAGCCTACCCACAATTAACAAAATGAAAATTGCACCAATTACATTACAATATTTTAACTTTAAATATGTTTATAATTTTAATTATAATTGAATATGGAAAATTATTTATTTAATTTTTGCTATTATTTTTATAATTATTACAATTTTAAAAATATTAATTAGTAATCTATATTTAGTGTTGCCATTATTATATTTATAACCATAAGAAAAATATAAAATAGTATTAATTATTTGAGCCACAATTGATCTATGTGTAATTTGAAAAAGTTAAGATTAATTAAAAATAATAATTTTAATTTAAATTTGCTATTATTTAAAAAACAAATTATTAAGCAACACATTACTACATACATTTACAAATGAAAAAGTGAAAAAATATTATTAATCAGAAATGCTATCATTTTGATCTACACAGTAAGAACTTACTACATCTACCTGTCTGTTATGTTTAGATTTATTATTAGATTTTATTATATTAATAACAGGATCCCATGACGATGGTAGTACCCAGCCATCTTCCCTATTGAAATTAGGATGTTTTTTAATTTCTATGGCTTCTCGAATCATTCTAGGGCGATATCGGTTTCAAATTACACATAGATCAATTGTGGCTCAAATAATTAATACTATATTTTATATTTCTTATGGTTATAAATATAATAATGGCAACACTAAATATAGATTACTAATTAATATTTTAAAATTGTAATAATTATAAAAATAATAGCAAAAAAAAAAAATTTTAATAAATAATTTTCCATATTCAATTATAATTAAAATTATAAACATATTTAAAGTTAAAATATTGTAATGTAATTGGTGCAATTTTCATTTTGTTAATTGTGGGTAGGCTGTCTGTAACAACTATATCTTTAAGACATGTAACACCTCAGTCTCTCCCGTGACCATGGATGCTGTAAAGCATTCGAAACGTCGGGAAACAAAAATACAAATAAATCCGCGACAAAATCCGAAAAGATAGTTTTATTTAAAAAAGTAGCCTATGTCACGCCAATCCGTCATTCTGTTCCGACGTGAAAGAAGGACAAACAAACAAACAAATACATCAGATTTATAATATTAGTAAGTATAAGTATGGACTATGGACATTAAAGTCTTCTTTTTGAGAAAATAAATTCTTTATCTAATTGACTGTTTTTTGGGGGGTAAATGTTACTCGCGTCCGTAGGAACTACCACCTTTCCTAGGCCCACCCTACACGTGCCCTCTGGGTGGTGCTAAATGAGTAACAACGCCGAGTCACAGGCGGCGGTTAAATAACCTGTTCTTGAGCTTCCACTAGCCAAGAGGCATTAAATCCCCTCTAAAAGCGTGGACATGATGCCTTGGGAAAGCACCATGTTTATTCTCCCAACCCCCCTCTTTTATGAAATATGGAAAATAACGAGATTGTGATGTCATGCGATCCGGCTAACCCCCGGCGCTTGCAGGTATCCGGGCCCGCAAGTGTGAAATCTGTTACCGAAGACCGCACAGACCGTGGGCGACCAGGCCCCTGTTCCGGTAAATGCGTCTGGCAGCAGCAGCAGTAGCAGTAGTAGCAGCAGCAACAAGAAACTTGTCCAACAGGCCTTCCATCCCACCCTGTTGATGAGAACAACATCTTCCTCCCTAGGGAGCATCCAACAACCCGGGGTAATCCCGGCAGACCTGGCCCAATTTCCCCCTGAGTGGCAACGAGTGCCGACAAACAAAAAACGTAAAATACGCGAGCAGTCTCCACCTTTGCCTCCACCTACGCAAACAAGGAATAAATTCGATGGCCTTCCTCTAGACCCTGACGACGACTCAAGCCCTTCTGGTGATCGTCAAAACAAACCACCTCCCATAGTTTTATATGGAATAGAGGATGTTAACGAGCTTACTAAATTAATCGAATCAGTTATCTCCACGACTGAATTTAAATTCAAGATTGTCAATAAGAATCTTCTGCGCTTGATGGTGAACTCAACAGACAACTATAAAAAAGTAATCAACCTAATAAGGCAGAAAGGCCTCATAGGACACACCTTTACTAGAAAAGAAAATAAGCCCTATAGAATCGCCATCAAAAGTCTTCACCACACAACGCAACAACAAAGCAATAGTGGAAGAAATAGAAAAGACTGGTAACAAAGTTCGCGGTGAGATTATAAATGCTCGATTTGGAATTGACAAAAAACCCTCGTATACATTTTTCGTAAACCTGGAACCTAACGCTAGCAACAAATGTTAAAGATATTCAATACATCTTTCAAAAACGGATTAAAATTGAAGACCCCCTTAAATCTAAATCCATAGTTCAGTGTCATCGGTGTGAACAGTACGGCCACTCAAAAAATAACTGTATGCGGCCTTACCGCTGTGTCAAATGTGGAGAAGGGCACAGCACATCAGAGTGCCGCAAAAAGACAGGAACACCCCTGCAAAATGTGCTCTCTGTGACAGCGACCATCCTGCCAACTACAAGGGCTGCCAGGTTTACAAAGAAATCCTAGCCAGGTAAACCAAGCGAAGAATTCCTATTCTATCAAACGCCTTGAGTCACTCTAACAAACCTGGGGCTGCAGAAATCCTTGATGACCCATTACCGAAGACCTCACTCAACATAGCAAATGCTACAACTTACGCAACCATCACCAAAACCTCTAAGAACCATATTGAACTAAAGAACCAAAGTGATCACAGTCGCAGCCAACAAAACACTACAAGTGTTAGTAACCCCACCCAACAAAATATCAAAAGTGATATAAATCACAGTCAACAATCTACTTCAGTAGAAGAGATATTAATCAGGCAATCAGAAAAGATAGATCAGCTCTTGCAACAAATCAACACATTACTTGGTCTCCTCACTGTCATCATCCCCAAGCTAATGAAGTAAGCAATGGCGTCGCTTAGGATTGCAACTTGGAACATAAATGGACTATCATCTAGCATTAATGAACTTGAAGCCTTGATTATCTCCAACAAACTGGATGTGGTATTGATCTCTGAGTCACATGCTACTACCAAAAGTTCCTTCCGCCTCAAAGGATTTCAAATTTATTATACCCCCCATCCTGATGGAGGCGCTCGCGCAAGGTCTGCACTGGTGATCAGATCACGCTTGAAACATTGCCTTCTCGAAGCCTTCTCTACTAACCATTTACAGGCTACCAGTGTACGATTGGAAGACCGCGCAGGACCTATCATTCTCTCGGCGATCTACTGCCCGCCTAAATATAACATAACGGACAACATGTTCTTGGAATACTTTGAAACACTGGGCAACAGATTTATATCCGGTGGAGACTGGAATGCTAAGCATACGCTTTGGGGCTCTAGACTATCTACTACAAGAGGTAGACCGTTAAAAAATTGTATCGACAGACATCTTTATCATTCTCTTTCATCCGGAGAACCAACTTACTGGCCTTCAGACCCAAACAAAGTGCCAGACCTGTTGGACTTCTTCGTGACTAAAGGGTTAAGCCAACTTTACACTGATGTTGAATCCTGTCTGGATGACTCATCGGACCATACTCCAGTGTTGCTAACTTTGGCCTCGACCATAATAAGCCGTGAAGGTCCTTTAGTTCTACACAATAGGAAAACTGACTGGGACGGCTTCCGCTCATACCTTGATGCCCATATCAACCTGCGTATTCCATTGAAAACAACCGAGGATGTAGAGGAAGCTTGTAAACACATCACAAACACCATTCAGGTAGCAGTATGGGTAAACACCCCCCCAACAAACATAGCCACAAATTTCATAATAACCCAACCCAAGGAAATTCGAAATAAAATAGCTGAGAAGCGGCGCCTGAGGCGTATCTGGCAGCAATCACGGCATCAGTCAGACAGAACCATACTTAACAAAGCAATAAAAGATCTAAACTCAGCTCTTGAGGAACATACTAACACAAACCTAAGAACAACCCTTGAACTAATGTCACCCTCCGAATGCGGAGAGTACTCGTTGTGGAAGGCCACTAAACACCTAAACAGACCCCAGCAGTCGTGCTATCCTATAAGAAGCCAGTCATCCTGGGCGCGCACCGACGCAGAGAAATCCGAGGCTTTTGCTAAACACCTAGCCGAAGTATTTAAACCAAACGAGGGTAATGAGCAAGAGACAGATTTGGGTTCCATACTTAAACAAGATATCCAAATGTGTCTACCCGTCAAGCCAGTATCGCCTACAGAAATCGTGAGAAATTAAATCACTCAATTCCAAGAAGTCGCCGGGTTTTGACCTAATTACTACCAGGATCCTGAAAGAGCTGCCAAAAAAATATGTGTTACGTTTCTGACCAGCTTGTTTAATGCCACCTATCGAATTTCCTATTTCCCAAATTTGTGGAAGGTCTCAGAGATTGTGATGATTCATAAAGACGGCAAACCGCCACACGAGTGCTCTTCATACCGGCCGATAAGTCTCACTCCGACCCTATCAAAGCTATGGGAAAGGATCTTTCTCAAAAGACTGAGCGAGTTAATGAACAACCACGAAATTGTTCCCAACCACCAATTTGGATTCCGCAAGGCACACTCGACCACCGAACAAGTTCATCGCGTATACCATACTATCAGACAATGTTTCGAGACTAAAAAATACTACTCTGCCGCATTCTTGGATGTATAGCAGGCCTTCGATCGGGTCTGGCACAAAGGACTACTTTGTAAAATCAAGGAGAGATTACCACACTCAGTGTTCCACATCCTAGAGTCCTATCTTGCTGATAGATTGTTTCAAGTCAGAGTGGGTGAGGCCACATCCTCTCTGTCTCGGTGCTAGGACCAGTTTTATATAACATCTACACATCTGATCTCCCAACCTCAGATGATGTTACAGTTGCCACATACGCCGATGATATCGCTCTTCTAGCTGTGGACGCAGATCCCACGTCAGCAAGTGGAAAACTGCAACGACTTCTCGACGACACATCAGACTGGCTCAAAAATGGCGAATTAGAGCCAGTGCTCAGAAATTCAGTCATATTACATTCACACTGAGAAAAGAAAACTGTCACCGGGTATACTTCATGAATAACATCTTGCCTCAAAGTAACTGCGTAAAATATCTTGGCTTCCACTTAGATAGACGCCTAACATGGAAAACCCACATAAAAGCAAAAAGAGATCAAATCAACCACAAATTCAGAAGTCTATACCGGATGATGGGCAGAAACTCAGTGCTCTCCTTAGACAACAAAATACTTATATACAACTCCATTCTGAAACCCATTTGGACCTACGGCATTCAGCTGTGGGGAACGGCCAGCAAGATTAATGTCATGTGCTTGCAGAGAGTACAAAACAACATACTGAGGAGTATCGCAAATGTCCCCTGGTTCACGAGGAACGACGAGATACATGAGTATCTGAATATTGCAACAGTAGCCTCAGAAATAGAACACTTTAAAAAACTGTACAGCGAACGTCTTGCCCATCACCCCAATCCACTTGCTTCTGGATTGCTTGACAACGCCAACGTGGTTAAGAGGCTGAAAAGAAACCACGTACTTTAGAGTACTTTACGAGTAGACAGCGAGGCATTGGCCCTGCTGCTCTATCAGTCATTACCTACCGCACAACCTACCTGCTTATAGTTTGGCGACTGATTGCAGGGGACTAACCCAAAAAAAAAAATTGACTGCCTCATGCTCATACATAAAAAACATACATTCAGGCGAACATAGTACCTAATTTTTTTGAAGTAGGATAAAAAATTCAAGCACTTTAAGCACAAATTTTTCAATATAGATGTTTTATTGCTATTACCACAGATAATATAATAATACACTTAAAACAAATACTTCTTTTTTTAAAACCATTTTTAACCTAACACTTAGACTCTATAATGTACAATATACATACCTAAGCCCAACAGTAATATTAATGAGCCCTCTCATATTGTGTCTCGCCCACTTCGCGATAGTGGGCGTGTGTGTCGCACTGAACATTGCAAGCTTGGACTTGCACGACTTGATGATTTGGTCCAACTGCTGTCTGAAAGTGTCCACTTCCTCGGTGGTTCCTTCAAAGAGTTTGTCAGCTTCGTCTATTATTAACCATTGGACCCTGGAATGAGATAAAAATAGAAGGCAATCCCATAAATATTAATTTTAATAATATAAATGCAAAAATTTGCATGTTTATTACTCAATGACGCCAGAAAGGCTAAGCAGATCGGGATGAAATTTGGCACAGAAATAGATTGTAGCCTGGATTAGCACATAGGTTACATTTTATCCCGGAAAATTTTACGGTTCCCGTGGGATAAATTTCTTTTTGTTTCTTAACTTTATATAATAGAATAAAGAAATAAAAAAAAAACTCATAAAACAGATTTATAGATTTTTTGTCTTACTAGGAAAGAAAAAGAATTTAAATAAGATCTTACTTGTCCAAGTTGATGCCAACGTTTTCTTGACTAAGCAAATAGCACAAACGGTTTGGTGTGCTTATTACTAAATCTGAAATAAGTACAATAGTCCATTTTGATTTATATAATAATTTTACTATCATTTCAAACAAAGTTCTATATAAAATGGTGCACATATTATGTTTATATCCAACTACTTAAAACAATTAAAATGAATTTCATTTGCGATGGGACCAAATAATACAGAGTCATTGTCATTTATTTGAATAAGTTTAAATCAAACTAAACAAATAATAAAAATTTATGCAAATTTATATAAACAAACATATAATTATATATTTATATATATTTTAAGTTAAAAAAAATAGTCTATAAATATTAAATAGTCTGTGAATAATGTTTATTTTTTTAATTCAACATTCAAAAAAATGGCTACACTGTATTTTTTTTTAAACTTGTGTTAGGACATTAACACACAGCACCGTCTAGTTCCTTGGTAAGCTATGAGGCTTTTTTAATGGATAACAGAGAGTTGATACACTACACATATGTAACTTTAAATACATACATATTATAAATATAAGCACCCATGACTGGAGTACAAACATTCATGCTCATCACACAAATGAAAGTATTTACACATGATAATTTAATAAGAACCAAAATCAACCAAAAACGAAAATATCTTTAGTAACAAAAGCAACATACCACTTTTTCTAAAAGTAGCCTCTCGTTCTTTTACTTTCTTCTCTTTCACACTTTTGATGACAGTACACCTTAATTGTGTGCTCACTGATAATCTAAGGGCTTCCCTGTAGATTTGGTTAGCCAGTTCACGAGTGGGGCAAAGTACTAAGGCTCTCGGACCACCCTGAGGTGCCCCGAGGATGTGCAGGAGGGGTACCAGATATGCAGCAGTTTTACCCGACCCTGTTGGTGCAGTGGCCACTATTTGACGACCCTGAAAATTATTTTCTTACCAATTTTATAATATTCTATTATTAATTATTTATTTATATAGTTATTTATTTCTATTTTAATTTTTTTTAAGTTTAAAAAGGTCATAACTTATTATTCTTCTTTCTTAGTTTGTACTTTGTTGTGTTGGAGATTATTTGAATTTTATATTAAAATCATTGTTTTAATAATTCATATTCAGATTCACAAATTTTAGAGCATATTAAACTTTTTTTAAAGAAATAAAAATATTAAAATAGACAAATCTTTTTCATACGATAACAATGATAAAATATGTTAATAGCTTAAAAATAATTTAAAAACTAATCTTTCTTACTTCCAATAGGCAAGGTAAAGCTTGCCGTTGTATAGGAGTTGGTTCTGAATATCCACACTCTCTCACTGTATCAATGAGTTCTTTAGGTACATTGTATCTACTAGTTAATTCTGTAAAATGCTTTAAAGCACTAGGTATATGTCGACCAACTGCTTTGATTCCATGTTCATTGCGAAAATGATTTTGCTGAAAAATAAAAAAAAATATAAATATTATTTGTTCACTTTCCATTTTATATATACCACACCATACCACCTCCACGTTCCACTTACTGCTAATAATTTATGTTCAAAGCGAATTCAAATCCCGGGTCTCGCACCTCTTATATTGTCATGTGCAAATCATTTCCAACATGATCACCATTTGTCTTAACGGTGAAGGAAAAAATCTAGAGGAAACCTGCATGTCTGAGAGAACCTAACAAGTTTTCAAAAGACATGTGAAGTCCACCAACCTGCGCTTGGCCAGCGTGGTGGACTATGGCCTGATCCCCCTCGTACTGAAGAGAGGCCCGTGCCCAGCAGTGGGACATTAAAAAGGGCTGAATACATTATAATTTATGGACAATTTCAAAAGTGGAATGAGGAGTATATCATAATATAAAGAAAAATGAAATGTTATTAATGATTACTATCAGTTATTACTGATAGTATATAGTATATAATAGTAGTGATTAGTAGTATTCTACTATTTACATGCTCTCTTAGATTTCAAGTTTCTCTATTCTCACAGGTAAATAACAAAAGAGCACAACCCAGGTTTAAGCCTGTATTATTTCTTTTTTCAAGTGTTTTCTTATGAACTCTATCTCTAACTAATAAACTCTAACTACTTAGCTTAACAAAATTTTAATGTGTCCTAACCTCTTCCAATTCAAGTTTCTTTTTTAACTCTTCAGATGATAATTTTGATTTCTTTTTCTTATCTTTTTTCTTTTCTACATTTCCATCTTTTACTAACATTAAGTCCTTGTCACTTCCTGAACCTTCATCATCAGACTCTGATTTAACTTGGGAATCATTTTCTAATTCATCTATATCCTCAAATTCTTCTTTTTCTTCTACTGGTTCCTGTTTGATTTGCTCATGTTTATTATGAGGAGTTTTTCGTTTTAATGAGTCCTGTTGATTCTGTTAAAAGCATGAAGTATTAACAACTTGGGCTCAGATATTGAATCGACATCCCTTAGTAGACTCTTGATTTTTTTTTGTGCAAAGTACTTATTATCTTGAGTAATCCCACAAAGTTTCAAGTGGCGGAAACAAATACTTTCGGAGATAAAAAATATTAAAGTTTGATAAATATAACCTCAATTCTGCACTATTTTATTGTTTTTGATGTAATTTTGACAGAAGTGTTGCTATTTTAGGGAGTTTTAATTAGGTGTTTTGATTTTGCAAGACAGAAGTGTTGCCATTATAGTTTTAACTACGCGTTTTAATTTTGCAAATAATAAGTTGTCGGGTTTTTTAATTTTTATTTCAAAATACTCAATATTATATTTGGTTTAAACAATTTCACAGTTATTTCAGATTTTTTTGGGTCAATAACAACGAAAATTTTGATTTTGTGTCAATCTAAAGTTATTTTAGTTACTTATCTAAGGCATCTAAAAGGCCTATTTAATATAAATAAATGATTTATCGTTATCACAAATATGTGATAGCAATAAAGTTTGCCCTTTACATTGTCATTCATTTTGACAAGTTAGGTATGAAGTTTGTAGTTAGGTTACAACTTAGGTAATTGTCGTCTAGATCTTGGTTAGATTAGAACAGTTAAAACAATGCACGAGCCGGGCGAGCGAAGCGAGCGTGCCGCGGTAGCAGCCGGCGAGTGCCATAAACTCTAAATTTCATGCAAAACGGAAGTAAACACTCGACATAACATAACCTCAAAATTAGATTTTTAAAAATTCATTAAAAAAAAATTTCTTTTCCGCCACTTTTTCTTTGCGGGAGAGTGATCTACACCCTCCTCCCCACCCCTCTCCCTCCCAAATATATAGATTTAAGAGGAGGTCGATTCAATAGTCCTTCGTAACAATAGTTCTAGGGTAGTCTTAAAGTATTAATTATAATTAGATTTTTGCAAATGACAGATGGGTACATCGGTATTATAACACAAAAACAAATTTAAAAGAATACTTAAGCAATTGGAACATAAAAATGAACCTCTCGAAAACGAGATAAATGCTGCAATTGAATTATAAGGGGTTAATTGTACTTACATTGTTATTCGCTCCTAAAACCCGACGTTTAAACGTAAGACCTTTTGTAAGTTTCTTAAAAATATCATATGCATCCATTATTGCATGTATTCATTTAAAACATGTACTAAATGATTATAATTACATGTGGTACTGTTGTTACTTGTTAGTGTTGATACTTGATACTTTTATTTGTCATCCATGCTTGATACATAGTGCCATGGAATTGGATGACAATTATAACAATTATAGTGCCAATATTGCCAGACTAAATGTCAATGTCAATAGCAGTCAAATTTTGACATCTTATCTTTCGTTTAGAAAGTTAGTCCACGGCGTTGAAAATTAATATTTTAATACAGTGCATTAAATTAAATAATGCATTTATAACCTTATATTCCTTTTCAGCTACATATTATACTCTCTTTTTACTTAGTTTACTTTTAGTGGTTGTTAGATTTCCCTTTTCGATATTTTAATAATATATTTAATAACCACATTAAAAGAGAAACAGAAACACTGTATTGGTGAATATGATATGATTCACGTCTTTGTTTTTTTGATTCCAAGATAAGAAAAAATTTAAATATCAAAATATTTTTTAATATCGTTAATTTCTTCACTTACGTTGATTCAATTTTGCTGTGTCTTATTTTAATTCAAAGGTTTTCTTATTAAGTTATTTCAATACATTTCCATTTCTAATTTTTTTTGTATAAATCTTTTGTTATAACTTGCTATTTGTGTTGAATATTGTCGATTCATAGAATACTAACAGTTTGCTTGGGCGTGACCGGTTGCTTTTTGTTTAGTTTGACTCCTAAAATAATTATTATATTGTTTATCTTTAAGAAATACTTCTCAAGAAGTGCTTCTTAAGCGGCTATATACCTGTTATTAGAAATACCCTCAACTTAGTCAAAATTTTAGGTTTTTAATTTCAACAATTTAGCCTGAGCAATAATAATAAATCAAATAGCTCACGCACAATTATCAGATTTATGGCTTTATATCTCCTATACTCACTCAGCCGTTAAAAGCTTTCTAATACTACTTAAAAAATTGATGATGTATCATTTATGTTTTGCACACGTAAGAAAGAAGTAGGGTTAACGAAGGGTTTGTTGACATGTTCACAACTCTGTGTGCTACGAAGTTGAAAAGTAAGTACATAGATATCTTGTAAATAATGGCAGCTCAATGTTTTTTTCTTTTTAACGCAATTCCATTCAAAAGTTTTCTTAAAACTGTCACCAATTGTGTTTAGACATTTTTTGGCGCCGATTATGCGTATCTAGTACCTTTTACATGTATAATTTTACAGTATGTGTAGCATGCTTAGTGTCGTTTTTCCCAGAGGTTGTCCATGGTCCAAGTCAGTAAGCTAGCCTACGATAAGCACCAAAAACTATATCGAATTACTTGATTTATTATAACATTGTTTTAAGGATTTTGTTAATGAATTTGTACAAAGTAAAAAAAAGCAAATCTTCTTTCTTATAAATGTGTTTCAACTTTTTTAAATAGGTACAATGGACGTACAACAGCTGTGCATTCTCTTCATCTAGTTGCATTTTTCAAATAGGTCTGGATAAGTAATTATAAGCTAAATTAATAAAAAAAGCACTTGCTCTATAGGAGTATCTATAAAGTAAAGTTCGTTGCAATAGATAGTTTTGGAAAAGACATGCTGAACTGTAAAATAGCTATGAGTAAGTAAATCATAATAAACAAATTATAATATATGTCGGAGACGAGTCATAATCACAACTAATCGGAACGCGAGCGCCACCTTTTTGGACTCGACTCAACTGTGATTGCATCGACTTTCATTTGAACCAACACTTCCCATATAACGCCCACTGTATAAGTCATGATAAAATAATGGAAAATAATAGAGAAAATTAATGTTGCTTCGATATCAGAAGCGGGATCAGTGTTGGTTCAATTGCAAAAAGAACTAACTCTGAGTGAACAATGACGTGCTATGTTTGAACAACAAAATGTCAGTATGTGATCTCTTATCGAGGCTATGCAAATGCCTCGGATGAAGAAGAACGTCAGGTTACACGAGTTTGACCCTGACAATATGGATACGGACGCAAGATCTTTGTTTGCGACTGCAGATTTGTGTTTTACCGAATACCCTCCATACAGCGGCCAGCTTGTTTTAAGTCAGTAAGGAATTAAAAGGATAAGGGCCGACGTGGCTATCACAATTTGTATACCAGGGAATAACATAGGAAGAGTTAAAGGTGCTTTTCAAGACGAGGTTTGTTTCCACCGAGACATTGGCCGGTACGCTAATTAATCTTAAAAGTGATAAACGAAATGAAAAAAGAAACTCTTGTTACGTGCGTTAATCACCTGATGACTGACTAATCATTGGAAAGACGCTAGCAAGAATCAGATAGCAATTGCGACTGTCCTTGCTCACATGTGTCAGTTTAATTCGAAATTACAACGATTGGCCTTTACTACGGAAATTGTTTCGCGAGATCGACTGCAGCAGTAATTGCACGCATTCTCACATTTTTGATACGCAAAGCTAGTATATCTGATGAATCTTCAAAAGTGCCTGATGTTAAACGAGCCAAGCTTATGTTAAAATGTTATACGTGCGGAAAAGTGGGTCATAAGCGGTCAGAGTGTAGAATCAAGGTAAATGACAGTAAGGAACGACCTTCGATGACAGCAACGGCATCGCAGCCTGCAGTGAAGTCTCTGGTGTGCTTCAAATGTGGCAAGCCTGGTCACATCGCGCTCCGGTGCGTAAGTAGTAATACACGGCTAACACACGAGGGCGTGTGCATGCAGGATGGCCGTGTCGGAGACGAGTCATAATCACAACTAATCGGAACGCGAGCGCCACCTTTTTGGGCTCGACTCAACTGTGATTGCATCGACTTTTATTTGAACCAACACTTCCCATATAACGCCTACTGTATAAGTCATGATAAAATAATGGAAAATAATAGAGAAAATTAATGTTGCTTCGATATATATTACATTGATTATATTATAAAGACATTTTCTTATTTCAGTTTAAATTACAAAAACTATTATTTCAAATATTATTCATGCTGTTGTGATGCTTTACGATTATTTTGCTTGCTATATAATTCTTATATAATTATATTTATATATTTTTTGAAAAGACAATTATTTTTTATGTTAGATTATAATCCAAATGGAATAATATGAAATTATTCAATTCATTTTGTGTTATTTTTACAGATTAATGTATAAAACTATATTTTGTTCTTAAGTATTAATTACTTTTTAAACAACATTATAGGAGTAATTAGGTAAAAAATAAAAATACGCATTATCAATGGAATCACTGCGAGTTTATTAAATTTTATACTTTTATTACATCCAACTGTTATATTTCCCATGATATTTCAAAATATAAAGGACCGTTTATTACAACCCAATAAAATTAATTCTGTTTGTCAGATTCAAAGATACTTAGAGTACTAGTTCATCCGACTTTGATATGTTCCTACTACGCAGGCCGATTGATTCCTTAATCACATATATCAACAACATCAAAACAAGTAAAGACACCTCCATTTAATAGACATTGAAGTCATGAAAACTAAAAACTATTTCGGAAAATCCTAAACGAGCTCCCAATTGTCAATTGATAATTGGCGCGAAACTCGAAAAATTTGACTGACAGACGACAGTTGAAGTGTTCTGTGAAATAAATATTTAGTAATAAGAGAAAAACAAGTAAGTAAAATTGAATTTAATTGTTTTATTAATACATTAATTTTTATGACTTCATTCTCTTTTAAATAATCTCAATTCATTATAGTCGACTTTCATACAATCTACACCAATAGTACTTTAAGTGTCTTGACTGAAGATGTTCCAACTTACAACAATTTCCAAGAGGATCCTAACTCTCTATAGGGCTGCTTAAAAGCCACATCTAGTACCTTATCGATCAATACACAATACTATGAAACATTTTTGTACATCCCGCTCCTGAACTTTCCGAATATGAAAAGTATAACAAAACTCACTAACTAAATGTAGTTAAAAACATATTTCTCCTCTTTGATCAACGATGGCAAACTATAACTTTTATAATAGTAACACAATATTAGTTTAGGCATAAAGAACGGCCGTAAAACTCACATACGCTCGATCGGCGTGTGCTCTGAGTAAAAAATAAAATAAATTAATAAAACTTGTATATCTCCATAATGAATCGAGGGTACGTATCACTTAGACGAGAAACCTTAAAAAGAAAAGTTGTTACTAATAAAAACGCAGATCGTGCATATATTAAATTACGAAAAAAAGAAAAAATCTAAACCTAAACGTGTCAGCAAAAATATAGTGCAGTTAAAATTAGAATTGCCACTTAATTAACATCGACATATAAATTGATTTTCTTAAAAAAATATTTCTGTGTATAAAATGTGTTACCCAAGCATAACAAGTAACAGCAGTGTAATTCTGCTAAGAAATCGACTGGGACGTTCATAACAAATATACTACTATATACTTATGATAGAAAATATCTTAAATATATTATCGATCTTGAATACTTTTCTCAATAAATAGTGCCTCTATTAGGCATAAAAGGGAAAAGAGGACGTACTAGTCGAATTTTTAGCGAAATTACTCTCCTGCATCCTCATCTGTAGATAAAAAGTTACTTATAGCAATATATTGTATGTCATAAGTGGGTATATTGTAAATACTTTGAATATAGTTACTGCAGACGGGCTATCAACGATCTTTGCTCGACAGGGGAGGCGAATGAACTACATAGTTATAATATAATACTTCTTATTTTTATATAAAAAGACGTAAGTGCACTTTGATTTACGGAACTATGATTGTAGCTATAGGTAGATAGGGATCAGCAGATTATATTAACCGTGCTTCGTTGTGCAGCACTCAATTAAAACTCTTAGTTAACAGTAATAAATCTTTATCCTTCTATAAATAGCCCTCTAAGGACCCCTAAGTATAGGAACACTGCAAAAGTATAAAGAGTAGGTACGTTAGAGGACAAATGTGTTAGCAGTTAGGCGGATACGACGAAGAAATATAAATAAAAAATGTAATTGACTTGACGTCAATCAATTTTTGAATGAACTGAAAGTCGCTTCTGAGGGTAGTTTTCAAAATCTTAAGATAATCTGCAACTGATCTCGTCACTTATTGTTAAATATGTATATAATTACTGAGGTACTATGGCAGATTGGGAACTATTGCTATAACTGTATTATAATAATTATATTAAGTGGAAGATACTGTATATATTAAAGCTATTGACTTAAGAATATAACGACTAATTGTATATACTTTCATCACGACTACAGATAGAAACACCAACGACTTATTATCGAGACAAATAATAACAACGAACAAACCCGTGAGACATGACTAATATCACACTGCGATTGTTCTCGAAAAATCTGTATAAAAATATAAATAACTAGAATATAAAGTATTGTCGAAAGAAAACATATTGCAGTCGATAGTACTTCGAATTATAAGTCGATGCCATTTTATCCTAGGCTAGGTTTTAGGTGGAGTCGATCTATTCTCAAAAAACGGCTTTTTGCGTCCCCGGTCGAGCAAATCTAAATTATTTTAAATAATTATCTATTGTGGTCTGGTATCCGACGCTTATATTGCGGGGGTTTCCCAGAATAAAAGCATCGAACCATAAACTATTGCATTTTATATATGGATATGGTAACAAAAATAATGTATGTATGGAAATAACTATGTAACAAGTGTTATAGTTTGACAATATCTATAATTATTGTATTTATAAATATAAATGATCACGTTTGTTGACTTGTCCTGGATAAACAAAGTAAACCCATGGTCTCCAGTGTAAAACTACTTGGACCAACACCGCCAGCTTATTCTACACGTATACATGAATTAAGTATATCAAGTATTTAAATTGCTCACTGCTCCTCAACGACGCAGCCCTTGTATAACATATATTGTCAATCCCTATCTCACTCTAGCATACTATTTTATTTTCTTGATCCGATTATTATTGTTAGTTAATATGGCGGGACCTGTTAAAGATGCAAGTAGTTTTACCTAAAGAGTTTGCTATATTAAGATTAAAAATTAAAAGATTTATCAAAGATAATACTTAACATTATTGGAGGTAATACTTAGATTTAAAAAGCAAGATTGTTTGTGAAACCGATTTGTGAACTATTTTATTGTTAATGTCATCTTAAATACGATATTTACATTTAGCCAGTACTAATGTTTCCGTAAATGCCGCAATTGATTTGCCCTGTGATTTATCCTAAGGCATTTTTTTATTCTATTGGCAGTATAAGTGGACAGGTTTAGCAACAAAAAATAAAGTAAGAAAATTTTCCATGTGGCAATGCATAAGTAAAGCTGTCAAATCGATAGTTTATTAAATTCGAAGAGTCTAAAATAAATCGCACGCGCATCTATCGTTGGATCTAGTGTCAGTGACATTTTACTGACATATTGCCACTTGGGATATCTTATAATTTACTTATTGTAGGCTATTGTAAGTTGTACTGTTACGAAGGCATCCCGTTGTTGATTATTTTGTGCATTACCTACTTTAGTAACACAGTCGGTTTATTAAACGTATTTCGTTAGTAAACTTAAAATAAATTATGTGGACAAAGCGAAATGAATAGGTATATTAATTAATCGAGACAATGAAATAATTTATAAAAAAAACGTTCTCTCACTTATCATCTTACTATTTAAAAATGCAGTATTTTGGTATACATTGCAAATATTTTTTTTTGTTTCGCTGTTTTTCGAGTTGTTTCAATTTGTTTTTGCTGCGATCGCTAAAAGTGTTTGCCGACACATCCAAACTTAACCAAATGCCCTATGCCTAATAACAATCACCAACGGCTGTCTCCGATCTGATGTAGTTCGCAGCTGCTGTCTTCTGAGATCAAAAATTTAGAATTACGAAATATTTTTATATTTTACGAATAAAATTGGTGGGAAAATAATCCAATTTTTTCTTCAACAAAGCAGTCAACAACAAGCTTTCAAACGGCCGAACGAATGAAATAATTGCACAGCGAAAACAACAAACGCAACACTAAAAAAACGTTATAGAAAGACTAAGTCCTAAGTTTCACTAATAATAAATCCATTAGTAGAATATATATAAAAATCCTTTCCATTAATGATTTTATCTATTCACTATTTTAGTTAATAATATCACGAGGCTTTATTCCCGAATGCCACGATCCTTCAATTATGTATTTATCGCTAACTTATAACATATTTACAATTCAAACTACCCGCTTGCTTTTTCTTCTAAGCTCCCTAAGATGATACTATGACGATATTTCCGAACCGATTTCGCTCTCGGAATCTAAGACAGCCAGTTTAACATTCAAATAAAAATTAATATATAAAAAACAAAATATGTGAGGTATTACAAACATGGAGGTACGCGCGTTATTACCGGGGAATACCACGCCTTTTCAAAGACTCGAAAATCATGAAAAAAGGTTATTTGTCTAACAAATTAATTTAAGATGAATATAAAAACTTATTTAAATATATTTGGAATTATACCAAATAACAATCAATTAAAACTCATATCACAAAGTACGAATATGTAACATTCCGAAAAAGAAAAAACTTACTTATATATTCTTAAACATTTACCCTAACATTGAAAAATAAATGCAAAATTAATTAATTTATAAAGTATAAGTGAATTTGTTTACATTGTTCAAGCTCTATGGATCTTGTAATTGATTTTTTTTAAATATGATATGATTTGAAATTATATAACTTTCAATAATTTCGATAAGATATGGCACAGTTTGATACAATAATCGTTTTTCAGAATGTCTTTTATTCTACCAAAAATAAATGCGTATTGGCAAAAATCCCCATTTTACTTTCTTTGGCTTGTGAAATATCACGGCGTAGAAATACTTTAATTCCTGCATAGTTATAGATATTTGTGTGATATGTTGGGTTACTTAAATGCAGATTTATCTATATCAAAATGAATTCGATTAAACCCTGAAAAGATATGTATATAGCCAAATGCGGTACCCAAGCGATTACCTATAATACGAGTAAATAATAATATATTTTTACATCTGCAGCCATCTTATGGTCGATCCTAAGACTTAAAGAATTTTGAGAATATAATAATAATCTAATAAATTTTCAATAACGAGACGTCCGCTACGTTGGTCGACATTTAAATAAGAAACCACTATACACTCATAGAGAGAAATCCGAAAATGGATACAGATTAAATATAATTATGTTAATGAATACCTAATATCTACGTGATTTATACAGACGAAACGATATATCTTTCAATTTCGCGATTTGAAACCACGAACGTATACGATCGTCAATCTACTGCTTTTCGAAGACCCACACAGTTGGCTCGCCAGCTTTCTTAGCTTATTTTCGTCATATAACCCTGTAAACAAGGACTTGCCCAGTGGCAACTCCCTAGTATTTACTTTTCTTCTCCCCGACCGTCACTTTTCGTTCGCCAACTTTTTCTCATTCTTTGTCAGTTCGGAAATCTCAAACCATTTTATAATCGCAAGACGAACGAAGGCACGGCTACTTATACATTGATCAAAACGTCTTAATTGAAGCCAAAACGCACATAGAATACACATATTGTTCGTAGACGTAACACTTTTGTACTTTTTAAATCAGATTCTAAGTAGTCTTTTATTTTTTTAAACATCAACATTTTTTTTCTTTATTTTTTTTTTATCTAAAAATTTTGGTAATTAACTCCTAAATAATCTGTATTTAAATTTAGATTTGGCGATCCGAAAAAAGTTTCTTTAAAAAATATTTTCTTTCAATATTTTAATATTTACTGTTTAAAATTTGTACGTTTCCGTTTGTACAGTTACCGATTCTAATTTGACACTAGACATTTATCGAAAAGTGATTTTAAAAAATGTAATATTCTCTTTAGAATACAGTTGGCATAATTTTGGCAGTACTACGAGTAGATATATTAATACTTTAGTATTGCTCTGGATTACATTGTCATTTTGAACACCGTTTGACCATTTACTAAATCTCGCCTTCGCATTTGTCACAAAGCGTAACACTAGATGACTCCTACAACAATACTGTTCATTTTTAAAACTAACGTCAATATTTTACTACCATTATAATACAATTAACCATTAAAAATGCGGCAGAGTCCTGCAATTTTGGCATAGTCCGTATATTGCACACGTACGCTATCACTATCGTGTTCGAGTTCCGTTTTTCAAAATTCAAACAAACATTTCGAGTCCAGCCAAGGGTGGTGAACCATGCGTGCCATATATAAAAAAATATTCTAAGGCCGGTTTTTGACGAGTTTTGTAAAACCAACCCTGAAAATTAGGGCATGCGCGGTACGCCAACCCTGGTTCAAGCCATGGTTTGAGGTCATTGAAGGCCAGGTGGAAGCTGCGGCGTGTGATCATTTCCGAGATCGAACAGATGATGCGGCGACGGCGCCAGGGCACTATGAAGTGCTGACGTCTTTAGCAGCCGCTTGAGCATTCCACTCGATCCTCTGTGCTGAAGACTCTTGTGCGTTGTGAGCGAGTTCTTCGTTCTGTACCTCCGGTGGCAAAACTCGCACACGTACAACGTGTCTGACTGCTCGTGTTTGTCTTGGAAGTGTCGTTTCAGGGAATAGTAACAAGAGAACGTCCGGCGGCAGTACGGACACTCTTGCGGCTCGTTGATCCCGCCAGCTGTCGGCGGGGGCATACGGAGGGGCGGAACAGCTGTAATGTAAAACGATTACTATATTCCTTATTATCGGGATTTCTCCTCGTGTTAGTTGGCAATCTGGCTTATTGTATGTTTAATAGCGCTTATATAAATTTATATGTATGAGGTTTATTAATAATACTAATAATATGCACTGTACACATTGACTAACTACACAATAATCACGAGTTTATTTAAAATTTAAGGAAATTCTTTCAACCACAATGACACAGAAACACGTGATAACAAAAATGATAGAAGCATGCTCCAAGCAACACAACAACGTCAAAACTGCGTAACCCGTTGGGATGGGGTCTTTCGGGGTTTAAATTGGAAAATAAAAAAAAAATATAAAAATCAAAATAAAGTAACGGAACTTAAATAGAAAAGGGACCCTTAAACCTAGTTCGTCTATTATAGAATGCTGTTAATGGATCAGCGGTCAGTAGTAACCCTAGGTGGCTGTCTATAAACAGATTCTAACCTTTATGAGTGGTGTTAAGTACGGCTGTGGGGTTGGCCTCGTGGTGATTCTCTTTGCTAGATGAATTCTGCCGCACGCCGCGCCAACTCCGTCCAAGTAGTCACTAAAAAAACCGGATTTGATCCGTTTCCCCCGGCCTGGATTTGTGGTAGGTGTATATATGGGTCATTAGAGAGTTCCTCGAGCAGTAAACTCTTTCGCAAATAGTGCATCTGTACTCTTCTTGTCTCTCCGCGTGCTTGTCTGCGATATGTCGCTTCAAAGACGCCTTTGAGCACAATACTTTCGCGCATTGCATGCAGGAGAATAATTTTTTACCTGAAAACAAATCGAAAAACAAAACAAATATGGGGTTGGTCCCCGAACCCGATAAAATAAAATAACACCTTAATAACCTAGCTGTTATTCTTTTCTAAGTGATTTAATTTTTTGATTGTGAACTAAAATATTGGAAAAAACAAGGAGTGAAAAAAGTGATTAAAAATATTATAAAATAAACAATAAAATTAAAGAAAAAAAATAAATATAAATGATTGCGAAGCTACAGTGGCCAATGAAGTGTTAGAACAAACACATGCAGATGGCGGGAATATATATTTCTTTCTTTAAAACGGGGCATGAAAAGCGCGCAACAAAAAAAAAACAAGTGCACTACAGCTTTAGACTACTTTGAAGCTTTTTCTAAGTGTGAGGTATTCAATAAAACTAACATCGTTTTTTTTGTATATTTGTTTTTATTAAAAACGCCATTATCATCAATATTAGGATTTATGAAGTTCGGTTTAACGATTACAATTACATTTTATGAGTAGTTATGTCAAGGTTTAACTTTAAAAGTAAGAAAAGAACTATTTGTAAATATCATAAGTGATGTAAAATTAATTGAATATTTAAGTAAGAATATAACTATGGAGTGGTGCAGCCCATTAAATAGGTGTTTTAAAACGTTCCCATACATATATTCGCCAAATATTCGTCTCAATAATAGCGTTTAAATGGAAGACAAACTTAAAGTAACAATTTTTGGCACCATTCTCCCCATAATAAAATGGGCTGCATTACATAGATGCCAATTATCAACAAAATACTAAGATCCAAGGATAGTATAATAATTTAAGAAGAAAAAATAAAATTTTCAATACAACAACCAATAAATTAATTTAGATTCCTTATAAAATAAGTAAAAATGCCAACAAGAAGTATAAGAACACATCGAATAAGGTCATCACGCCTGCACGTGCGGTAGAAAAAATACCTTAACACGTTAGAAAGATAAAAAACTTAAACAGGTCACAGAAACAGTCTTAAACTTGCTAAGATCCTAACTAATGTAGTTTCGACAGGGATGTGTTCTGCTCCTTAGAACACGGTGTAGTATCGCCCTTAAAACCCATAGATCTTATAGATCTTCTGAGATCCCCAAAACTTAGCCGCTACGAAATATTATAAATAAAAAGATCCTCGAATCACAAATAATTTTGAATAATACCGAACCGAAACAATCACGCTTCTGACTTGTATTTTTCTCTATAAAATTATCAATTTAGTAAATAATTGTACATTTTATTCTAGAAAATACGCCTAATAGTGTACAATTGAAACGCGTACTTAGTCTAATCAGTCTATAGCGCTTATTAATTTTGGCATAATATTTTTTCGAATAATTTTTTTCTAAATAAAATTCACAAGATCTTTCGTGTGCTACATCGATAGCCAAATATTACTGACTGCCACACTTAGCAGCACATCCCTGTAATCGTAAATTAAACATGTAGATGCTATTACCGCTACGAATTCAGATAAACCTTATATCTAAATAGTCAACTAACTTAATTCCCAAACCCAAATTAACAATAAAAACTATCTCTAAATTACTACACAAAAAACAACAATCCTACGTCTTACGTTCAAAAATCTTGCAATTGTTTGCAAAAAAAACTTAACATTTTTTCCTCATTGTGCACGGAATGTTGCGAAATTTTAAAAGCAATTTAGATTCCTTTTTCATTTTCGATTATCCCTTGTTTTACTAATTTCTCTAACGAACATCGTTCCAATTTAGCACCAAATCACTAGTCTTCCAATTGTTTAAAAGTATCGTAATAAAGCTTATCAAATAACTAAACAAATTTAATGGCTAAGCGTTTATGCATTTAATAATAACAACATAATCTTAACGTATAGTATTAAAATTTACTTTAGGAAGCCTCATACGTTAAAGTAGCGATACCTCATAGGCAACGAGTGTTCCGAACACTACTCCTAATATTTTAGAAGTTTACTCAAAATATGTCTTTTGTCGAAAAAAATGTAAAGCAGGCACTAATAATTACTTAATGTGTATATTGTTACAATAAATTATGTGTTTACATTTACACTTAGATAAGATTCTCTTATTGCTATTAAAAGAAATATAACATTGATTTAGCGATGTGACTCGCCCAAAAATAGTGATGTTTATTTAACTAGATAGATACATGGAAAGGAAAATTAGTCTGGAAGTCTAGATTCAGACAATTTGAGTTTTAAAATTCTAGTACATTTACTCTACTACATGTTTAAACAAGCCAGCACTATGAACTATTTAAATCAGGAGTCGTCTTAACGGATCTACGAATATGATTGTCTAACATACATTGATATGATAAGTTAGGAATTACACGACCCAAAATAAGCTATTCTGAATCTAGACAGCAATAAAAATGTCTAAAATTTCGCCTAAACAAAAATATTCGTTTACAACTATGTATGGCAAGCAGAAAATTGTATTATAAAAAAATTCACACTGTTGAAATTTAGGAACATTTAACACTGAGAATTATTAAGATTTAGTTATTACCTATTAAGTATTTAAATTTATTAATAATGTGTTGTTTATTTTACACCAAAGGAATAGCTAAATCGAATAATAATAGTTTTAAAAATGTTTACAAAATGTCGAAAAGTAAACGAATTATTCGACAATAACAAAAACGAACACAAGATAGTGATAAACTTAAGATGGAAAGTAACTAAAATCTGACTAAACTAAAAAAAAATATATTATAGCCATAATGATTCGCTTAAATGGCACCTTGCGATTCACTTGCTTTGAATGCTAGTGCATTTACAAAGCATAACTTGGAAAAAAAATTGGAAAAGAAAAAATAGAACAAACGAAACAAACAGTCGACTAGATAGAGTAACAGTAAAATAAGGTAAAAAATAGTCGACTTTAATAGTGATATGAAGTTGCTTGTGATGGATGTCATTTACTATTTCAAGATCCTGTTTGGTGGTTGTCTATTTGTTCGAATTTATCCTGTTATCATTGGAGTAGCTAGGAGAGAGGAGCCATTGAAACTTTAAGGAACTAGCCTGAAACCTAGCGTGAAACGTTAAAATATAACATTTGTACTGATTCTTAAGTTATTAGGTACGTCAGAAATTTACTTACCTGTTAATTCTTGTGGCTCTTAAGTCGTAAACGGTCAGGCTACGATCAGGCTAGTGTCAGGTCCTCGGTCCTAGCTATTCCTGACTATGGTTGTTACTGATATTATTGTATTGTACTGTTTATTATGTAGTGACAGTGCTGTGTGGCTGTTTAAAGTAAGTTTTCGGTTATATTGGTGCTATGTGTTCTGTTTCAGTCTTACAGTCAATGAACAAAAACACCTAAATAAAATAATAAATTTGAAAAGCCTCATTAGCCAATTATATATTTGTGTATATAATTTTATTTATTTTTAAATACATTTTTAGTAATCTCGTATAAATATCTAAGTGTGAGATCATGAAGGTAAAAGTACAGAATAAATAAAAAAATAATTGCAAAACGCCGAAAAATGAACACAACGTTGAAAACAATATGCCTCTTTTGTTACTTACAACGAACACTGTTTCTTTTTATAAATTTAAGCCTAATATATAAATTTACAGCACCAAGATTTTTCTCTTTTCTCAAAATATTAAATTTACTCTTTCGCCTTATTGTCACACATTTAACATAGTGTAAAATTCAGGAATCCTCTTACCGCAGTATTGCACTTAGCGGGCGTTCATAAAAAAATATTTTGACCAAAAATCGCCCTCCCTTGTTTAGATTGGAATGTCAATTTCCATAAAATCGAATACAATGAGTCAGTGCCAGACGACCGGATCGCGTCTACAAGTCCCGAGATAAACATTTAAAAGAGTAATGTAAATAAAATAACTCGACATTAAAATGTCAATAATTTCCGCGTGGGATAAAAAATATAAATCATCTACTATATAGAAAAAATTAAATACACAGTACCGGCTTTAGGTTGAACGGCGCTAACGTAACGTTTAATATTCTAGTAAATTAAAGACATGTTAAAAGTGCAAAAAATAAGAGCGCTCTGAATAATTGTTAAAGTAAAAGCCAAAGCCGATACTGAGTTTCTGAAATATCAAAAAAATGAATTAATTTAGACGTTAAACTGATCTTTGAACTTGTAGAAGTCGATGTTTGGTTGAGTGGTCGGCAGCTTAGCCTCCGCCGAGAGGTTCTGCGGCTGCTGTTGGGTCGCACGCTGGCGGCGGTGGTAGATGCTCTTGTGGTTGTTGAGGGAGTTCAGGGTGCGGAACACCTTGTGGCAGAGGGTGCACCGGGCCGAATGGAGCGGCTGCAGGTGTTGTTGCTCAGTGTGACGCTTGAGCGTGAGCCTCGTCGACAGCAGCTTGCCGCACACCTCGCAACGGTGACCCGTCCCCAGCGGCCCCACTGCGCCACACATAACGACCAACATTAGCGCATTAGTCTCGGGTCCAAACAACCCTACATACCAACACCACAGCGACCGTCTCGACGGGTCCCAGTTTGGAACCAATTGGCACAGTGTGCCACTCGTGGCAAATTTCGAACCTGTGTAGAGGCAATTCAACACGTAATCGACTAATGCGCTTTAAAGTTGGTTGTTATGTGTACCGATCAGATGTTCCAATTGGTTCCATGTGTAAACGCACCGTCGCACGACGGCGAACGCTTACACGTAAGCGTTTTAGTAACAATAGATACATAATATAATCTGGCGATGCGCATGCAAAGTACACGTAAAACTATGCTATGTACAAATGTTAGGAACATATCGCGTTACATTTTTTTTATTAAACTTAACAAAAGTCTAGGGGCAAGACTATGGCTATGTAGGTGGTCGGGATGGCAGCTTGGTTTCCTCAAATGGCAACGTGTATGGCAAATCGCGGGAGCGTCAATTGACAGGGTAGAAGGGACCCTGGCCGGAGGGCGGTTGCTGCTTGCGGTGGTAGATCGACTTGTGGTTTCTCAAACTATTCAGGCTGGAGTAAACCCGCCGGCAAATGTTACAAACGGGTTCCCTGGAGGGTCGCATGTGAACGTTTTGGATATGACGTTTGAGCCGGGTCAGGGAAGACAAGCTCTTGTTACAGGGCTCGCATCGGTACTCTTCCTGGGGGGTGCGGGCGCCACCTGGTCACAACACAAGCATTTAGCCCCATCGAAGCTTCCGAACGCACTTTTAATGCACTCACTATCGTAGCCTCTTTACTCAAGCACCGCCACCCCCCTTTATTGATGATAGCCATCCGACGCGTCGATTATGCCAAGCGGTATTAGTATATTTTTTTCCTAACTCGACCTACTTAGTAAAGCTTGATGATTGTGTAAATCGGCTGTTTTCATTTTGTGGGACGCGATCGGCGGTCGCAGTTTCGAATTTCTCTAAAGCATTAGTATTCTTCAATTAATTATTATCTTTTTTAAATAAACTGACACCACTTAATCGCAACTATAATTCCATTGTCCAATCTTGTGTGTCCCCAGCGATATATTTCCCGAGACAATAATGAATAATTAAGTAATACGAGATTGTTTTTAGAAACATGAATGATTCATGGGATCGCTTATTTGGTAAAATTGAGACTCGGTCGGATTCGATCCAAATTTACATAGTCTTGAAATTTTGAAAGCTTCATATTTTTTTGTCCGATTAACTGACACGTATTATATATTTTTTAATTTAAGCCAATTAAATATAATTAGTGCGTTTCGATGTTTAACGGAAAGGGGTAACTAAATGAAATAAATCAAAAATAACATCGAGGATTAAGTCAAACATTAAAATTGTAAAAAGACGAAAATAAAGAACTAAATCGGGAGAATGGGGACGAGGGATTTTTCCTACCGTAACTTATCAAGACACATCTAGAAAACAAGCTAGCAATCTTCATCGTATAGTAAACATTAAACTATAGTAACAATACAGTAACATGCACGCCACGTTGCGTTTTGGTTCAATGATCAATTCTCATTTCCACAGAGCGGTCATATCTGACAAATGAAAAAAGATACACACGAAAGTCCATCGAACCATAACACAAAAAGCTAACATTAATATTGAATACAAAACACAGAGCATAATGAAGACATATACAGGTTAGGAGTAGATACATTATAATACATATATAATAAATATGTCACGTGATAATTGCCTCATACATTTTTAAAAATATAAAACCTAATTATGATATATAAACCTATAATGACAGAGCAGAGAGGAAGCGGTGATGGTGGCATACGACAGACAGTGCATTAAAAATATCGTTTGTTTCAATATATGTATGCATAAAATAAACTTGTTGCTAGACAAGCCGCCACTCACCTTGAGATGTGCCCGCCAAGTCCGGAGTCAGCGGGCTGGACAGACCTGCAAATAGCACATGGCTCTTATTCACTCGACAGAACCAAACTGCTATTTTGTACTTAGTGAGGAGAACTAAATCATTTACCACCACCATTAAGACGATACATTTACGTTAAAAAGACAGATCTCTTTATAACGAAACTGTTCAGTGCAGTTTTGCCCATGTTTCTTTATATAGAGTTCAGTTGTATATCAAAATATGTATATAACTTTTGAATCAAATCATACTCATAATATTTCTTATGTTTAAATAATAATGCAAACAACACATATAAAGAAAGATTCGTACCGGCCAAGGAAGCATCAGTGAGAGCCGTCATGCCATAGTTGTAGTTATGTTGCGATGCGAAAAGCTTTGTATCGGCGGGCGTTATAAACGGCGACGTCGGCAGCTGGGGTGGCGGAGTGCGGTCGTCTGCTTCGGCCGAGCTCGCGCGTGACGGTGGGCCTCCCTGAGACAAAAGGAATTACGTATTAATAAAAATATTTTCATTTGGTTCATTCACATCACATCTTTGATAAAATGCGAGTGCTATTAATATATGCTTGTCTAATTTTTGAGAAAAGTAGACGTTTCTTAGACGTAAATAAAATTATAATAAATTAAAGTAAATTAAAATATTAAGATTATTATTGACATTATGTTATTATCGTTTTAAGTCATATAAAAGAAGATATGAACTTGAAATTTCCCAAACAGATAAGGGAATTATTTTGTAATTACAGTGAAATTCAAATAAAATAACAGTAATAAAAGGCGCTTTATCTCAACTTATAAACTTCTATACAAAAAAATCTCAATCTTAAAAGTACTAAATGAGCATAAGTTTAGACGGTAATAAAGTCGACTCTGATACGAATTAAAACAGCCCGAGACTCAACTATGGAAGTTAGAATGCCAATCTAACTTTGTAATAACGAACCTTCTTTTATCATACGATATCTTACAGAGCGGCTCTGTGTGACGGCAGATAAATGATAATTACTTTAGACTTATAAGCTTCGGTTAAATATTACTGTTGTTTTGTAGCAATTTAAATATTTTGACTGTAACAATAATAATAACTAAAGGGCCTACAACAATAAAATTACATATATGACCTCAATCGTGTTAAAACCATTTTACAAAATATCTTACGTAGGTAATATTATAAATGTAAAAATTTAGGTGTTTGGATTTTTGTTACTGAATTACGCCAGAACAGCTATGAGTACCTATGTACCTGGATAAAATTTGGCACAGAGACAGATTATGGTTTGGAATAGCACATATTTATTAGGCTACTTTTCATCCCAGAAAAATGTACAGTTCCCATGGAATTGATTTATTTTTGTTTTTGATTGAGGCGAACCCGAGCGAAGCGAGAGTGAGCCGGTAGTAAAATATAACATTTTGTATCAAGTATGAATAATTTATTTATATCTTAAATTTATTTTAATCTATAACGTTATATGCCAGTATTTCCAGTAAATTAAATTTTCTTTATATTCAAATCACTAAAGGCAAAATCAACATCCATACTAATATTATAAATGTGAAACTGTGTTTGTTTGTTTGTTTTTTGTTTGTTTGTTTGTTTGTTTGTTTGTTTGTTTGTTTGTTTGTTTGTTTGTTTGTTTGTTTGTTTGTTTGTTTGTTTGTCCTTCTTTCACGTCGAAACGGAGTGACGGATTGCCGTGATTTTTTGTGTGGAGATAATTGCGGGGCTGCAGAGTGACATACGCTACTTTTTATCGCGGGAGTTTACCTAATTCCCAGGGGAAAAACTTTATAATACAATCCAAAAAGAAAAAAGATCAAAGTTACTTGAAACTTGGTATAAATGCTCTTCAATAAAATTAAATAAATACGTGTTTTAGCATTTTTCGTAATTCATCCTATAAGAGGGTAAAATAAAGGATGAAAGTTAGTATGAAACTATCTTTTTGAGATTTTTTTGTAGTTTTAGCGCGAGCTAAGCCGCGGGTTCTGCTGGTATATATATATAAATTAAAAGTACTTAATATCGATGTCGGAGCGTTAAAATGTCTCTTTGCTAACATTAGCTACACGACCTGAATGGTTCAATTGTCGTGACATACGACTCTGTTTTAATTCCGGGTAAAAATTCTAGTTAGAACTCCCTAATTCTGAGTACGTCTCAATGTCATACGTGAGGAAGTTATGTGTTTATTTAAAAAGGTTTTATATCATCTACATGTTTTAATTTGATGGTTTAAAATATAATTAAATTATTTTACTGAATTAAAAGTAGCCAAGTTACTCCTTATAACATCAAGTACCTGACAGTGAAAGTCCCGTCAAAATCGGTCCAGCCGTTTCGGAGATTAGCCGGAACAAACAGACACAAATATATTTAAAATTGTTTTTTTCTTTTAAGTACCGTATATAATTATATATATTATGCATTTAATAAAAAGCTGTTATTTTGACATTACAAACAGACATTAAAATTTTATTTATCTGCATAAAACATTTAAAATGCTTTATTGTTATGGAAAATGGAATTTTTCATGTCTGTTTTTATGTTTTTAGGGTTCCGTTGTCAACAAGGAACCCTTATAGTTTCGCTATGTCCGTCCGTCTGTTCGTAGCTTAGCTCACAGACTCTTAGTACATTTTTCATATTATGAAACATCAAAAAACCCTCTTCTTAGTCCGCATTATTGTGATGGGCAACTACAGAACCCTACATTGTGAGAGTCCCGACACGCACTAGGCCGGTTTTTATTAAAAGAAGCAGATACTCACGAGTGGTCGGTGATGAGAATGCGGCGGCGTGTCATCTGTACTCCTGTCGATATCCGGGTTCGATGGGCACATCAGTTCCAGGGGTTCATTTTTGACTTCATCCATGAGCCTCGGAGAAGGAGACGAACTTGAGTTGCATATCCCGTTGCCATTATTCCCTTGTTCATGGGCACGAGTGTTATTGACCATAGAGTGATTTTTTGTGGAAAAGTCGTGGATCTGAGGTTGGTCGTTATTATTGTCGTGACGAGCTCGTTTAATGACGTCCGGGGAGTTGTCAGCGGAGCGGGACATGCGGCGAGGAGGAAGGATACGACGCATTATGGACGATGGGGGATGTAGGAGGGCTTCCTCCAGCTTTTCAGAGTAAGTAGGGGTGTGAGGGGCCTGGGGAGTGTGTGCAGGGTGAGGAGGAGTGTGGGGAGATGAGGCTGCCGCTGCGGTTGCGCGTGCGACGCTTTGAACGAGGCTCTGTAGACAAACAAGTTATGTTAGAAAATTTTGTTTAAACATAGTATTTTTCAAATATATTTGCTAATTTCATGTCTTACGTATACGATAGAAATGTATGCAAATATCATTTGCATGTTAAAAGAACAGCTAATGAATTTACAGATACCGTATATTATGTAAAAGTTCAGGTGTCTAGACATAGATATCTAATAATAATTGTTACGAACTATGATTAATTTTGCTTTTTCGTCATACAATTATACTTTTAAATGTTTCTAGTGACTTCTGCGCATAAACTTAAAAGATACAAAATTTATCAATTCTATGTAGAACAGAGAATATCTATTTAAATTAATAGAAAATATTTCTTTGTGTCATTACTATCTATGTACTTAGTTATGGTATAAAATATGGCATACCCCTTGATTGTCATCATTTTGAGTGAGTCCGGATACGCGAAGGACCTCCGCGGTCTTGAGGAACGACGAGAGGCTTCGTTGATGAACATTCACTTCCCCGTGATATATGAACTCGACCAGTGCAAGCAGGTCTGCGAACGCCACGTCTTGCAGCACAATTACTGGATGCTTGCATGGAGTTGACTGAAAAGTAGAATTACGGTTACAAATATGTTGTATGATACATTTTCATTTAGATAATTATAATGGTTTTCTTAATTAACTTGTATATTCATATTTTCATATTTTAAATAGAACCCTAGTCTCTACCGTGACCATGATTGCTGTAAAGCATTCGAATCGTCGGGAACCAAAAATCTATATAAATCGGCGATAAAATCCGAAAAGATAGTTAAGTAGATATATTTAAAATGTTGTATGCGAAATTTTTGCGATTATCACTGTCGCAGACAGTTTTTTTTATGTGTTAAAATTGCAGATATCTGCCATTTAAGACACGTCATGTCTAAACACTTATAAACTTACTAGCGGACCCGACAGACGTTGTCCTGTCTACACGTCTTTAATTTGAAAATTTCAAACTTTTTTTCATAATTTTTTTGATGAAAATTATTATTCAAATTGTGAATCTAAACCATTCCCAGATCCCCTTGAACACACACAAAAAATTTCATCAAAATCGGTCCAGTCGTTTGAGAGAAGTTCAGTGACATACACACTCACAGAAGAATTATATATATAAAGATAGTATATTAATTTATTTCAAGGTTATAATTTATTCAAAACTTTGCAACTCATGAAATTACATAATAATATAATAAAAATAAATTTATTTTGAATCTTATCTTACATACTAGATTTGCATATAAAATTAAAAAATACGTATTGAATTCTTATCGCTTTATACATTCTATTAAACAACGAACTGTTACGTATTTTGGGCATCTTTAAATAAGTCAGGTTGGCCGAGTGGTCTAAGGCGCCAGATTTAAGCTCTGGTTCCCGAGAGGGAGCGTGGGTTCGAACCCCACACCTGACAATTCTTTTTCCTTTTTTTAACTTATAATGTATTTTCAAATAAACAGAATAAAATATTCTTACTTTCCCTTTAAAGATGACTTAAATTGTTTAGTTTATTAAGAGCTTGTGTAATTTCGTTCGTGAGAATTAGCATGAGTCACTATATTTTGCAATATTACCTACATTACGCTGACTTCGCACGTCGATTGTTTTGATATAGAAATATGAATGAACAAGTGTTTTATGAATAAATTTTGTTTATGTTCCGTTTTTTTAAGGAATTCTACATTAAATGTCGGATAGATGAATGTTTTGGGCAAAATAGGTATATGGAACTTTCTCACTCAATATGGTCAACACTTTTTTTCAGTGTCCTAACTCCTACTGCCGGGCAATGGCCTCTGTCTTTCTTATTAGATACCAATTATAATTTATCTATTTACGTAATTTACTTAACACATCGCATTTTATAAAAATGCCGTTTCACTAGTTTCTGTTCGCGGTGACTTGCGTCGTAGATATTTCAATAAAAGCAGCTTGGAGTTAACCGGGATTATGCTATTTTCATTCAAAATTTCATTACAGCCGTTCCAGCGAAGATGAACAAACAAACTTTTGCATACACACGTATATAATGAAATTGTAAGTATAAAATATATCTATATTTCTATAATTAATATGCGTGAAGTTGCCATACAATTTTTAATTATTTGTTATAGAAGAAAAATAATGAAATTGATTCGTAGATGTTGCTTTATTTATTCATACCACAGATGTTTAAGAACAATAATGTTACCGTTGAGGTAGGTTAAATAAAGTGATCATATGATTTCTATATACAAAAGGCCGAGAAATATACAAATTATGAGACTTTAAAATCATTACATATTATGTGTCAAAATTCGACCACAGATGATAATATAGTCATTAGTATAACAATACTATTTCTAAATATTTTCAATTGCATGACACAGCATATAAGGTAAAAGTGACGAAAGTTTATTTATTTCATTAAATGAAGAATCTTTCCCTTATATTTGTCACGATCGGTTCACGTGAACAAAACCACGGGTAGAGATAGCCTTATTATTTCTTTTCTATGCCTGTAATGTGTCACTGCGACCATGACTGACCTATTGTTATCAGAGATAGTTTTTAGGGTTTCGTACTCGATAGGTGCCAACAAGACTATTACTATTGCCTCCGCAGTCCGTCCGTCTGTCTGTCAGCGGGCTGTACCTCATGAACCGTAAATAGATAGAGAGTTGAAATTTTCACAGAGTGTGAATTTTGTCTGTCTGTTGCCGCTATAACAACAAATAATAAAAAAAACAAGATGACGAATTTCAAAATGGCTGCCATGAAAATTAAAAACAAAAGTTGATTATGGTACCCTTCGTGTGCTAGTCCGACTCACTCTTGAACGGTTTTTGTTTATGTAATAAAGCTACTTACTTTAAGTAGTTCCCGGAAATATGGACTACAAGCTGACAGCACGACCCTATGTGCTTTAAGGCTCTTCCCGTCACACGCGAGGGTGACATCCACGAAGTCTTCATCATCCCGAAGATTCTCGAACGCGCTGGTAATGCTACTCTGGTAGTTGTTCCACCGGAGGCAGAAGTGCTGTGTGTCCACCATCTTGAATTGGCCAATTATCGAGTCATGTGATATCTGAGGAAAGAAATAATTAATTTTATTACCGTGGAATATCACTTTAATAAATGAGGGTTTTTTATCCTTATGGAATGCACCTCTATCTTAAGCTACGAGTATCTGTGATATCAAAATATGTGATGTAACACTAAAATCATTGATGAATTGGCATATTGCTTTAGCCCCTGAAAAAGTGGGCACTGATAAGGCACTGCATTACTCCGACATTATAAATGTGATTATTGATTGATCTTTCTCTTACACTGCAACAAATTGTTGTTTATTTCACAGAAACATTGTTTATCGGCCAGAGGGTGATATACACTTTATCTCTAGGCCTTGACTTGTCCCTATCATATAATCTAATACGAAAACTTACTTACCCTTAATATATTATAGAAAATAAAATTCTTTTTGAAATTACCTTCTATAAAACAAATGATTATAAAGATTCGTTCGTGACATTTGATCTTTTGAACTTTCATATACCTACAATATAATAGCAAAAGCTCTGATGATAATTTGAATGCAGACGTATATACTGTATATGTTATAGACCAAACAATTAATATAATATTATTTACAATGCCCGGGCATTTTAAAAAATGTTCAATGTGAGAAGTAAATATCTATCAAAATAATTAAATATTAATATATCTATTAAAATAATTAAATTGACCGGGCTTTATGAGTAATGTCCTTCACCTATTGGGCTGAATAATAAAAATAAGTATTCACTAAAATATTGTGTGCCGAACGAATAGTTGGTCAAGAACATAGCATATATGGGGGTTATGCATTTGAAATAAAAAAAAAGATCTAACGAGAAGGCTTTCTCAACCTACGTTATTCAAGTCGGGCCTGTCAATATCGAGAAACTCCAATATCGAGAAACTGGTAAACAAACCAACATCTCTTTAGCCATTGCAACGTTCTTGATCGGCCGGTCAAAATCGTCGCAAGTAATTTCTGGATTTTACCCATAAATGTGAGGTAAATACACAAAGACGGGGAAACGCGGAAAAAATTGTGGTGAGCTTTTTTTATAATTGAAGGAATCATAACATTATAAAATTGGTGACCTATCAAGTAGCAATATTCATAATGCCCAGAATAAATAATGAAGTTTAAATAATCGTTAATCACTTGGCCCAATTCGACTTGTCATTATTTATTCGCACCGGGCATTTGACATGTATCAAAGAACATAACTTTCCTCTCAAGGATAAAATACCCATAGGTATATAATGAAATTTAGGCTTTAAATTTTTGTATCATAGTCATACTATTGTTCTTTTTTAGTTTTATAGAGAGTAATGAAAGAAAATAAATTCATTAGGTTTAATGTAGGTAGTCTATATCTAAGCACTAACTAATAAGCTTGTTTGAATCGCATTTTAAGCGTAGAATAATAAAAAAAAAAGCGTAGAAATTGTGCTTAAAGTCGTCGTTAATTTCTAGATGAAGGCCAATTCACGAAGTATTTGATTGTAACCTGAAAATGAATATATATGTGTTAAGGACCTACATAACGATTTGGAAATTAGGGTTCATACAATTTTTTTATGATTTTATAATATAAATTACCCTCACTCCATTCGGGTTCGTCCCTAGATACATTTTAATGGTTAGTATAGATTTCAGATTAGATATTTTCCCGTAGTATGTACAGATTCAACCCAGTTGGAATTTTATTATATGTATGTATGTATAGGTTAAGATAGATGAGTCAGTTCAGAAATGAGCTTTTTTACATATAATTTTGTAATTGGATTTTCCAGCCATATTCATCTAAATAACATCAATTTTTTTTAATGTTGAGGCCGTAAATGTATTTAGCCTTTGAGATAAATGTCTTAAAAATGAAACTGAAGTGACCTGTGACATGTTTAATTAGATTTCCCCATTATAAATGCGTAAAAAAGCCTATTAAACCTTAAGTTATTATGTAGTTATTAAAAATATAGATAATAATTGTAGTAAGTAAATTTATATGTAAGTATAATAGAGCTTTATCGCTATATGTCGTCTTTAAATAGAAATAACTTATGTATTGATTGCAATAATTGCGAAAAAATGGGACAAATGTGCAATAATTTATAGTAATAAACAAGCGCTATCATTTCTTATTATCGTTTGACCCCTTTTTTAATCACTATTTTATAATCTATTCTATACTATTGTCGTTTAATTATATGTATAGGTATATTTGTATGCAAATTATAAAACTTCAAGAAATTATAAGAAATAGGTACATATTTAACTTGCGTATGATTTTATTAGTGAGTTTTGTATAGATTCGTGTATTTTATTACGTTACTAATATCGTAACGAGTGATAGTGAAGTATATCACGTATATACATAATTTGATTTAATTTTTTTTGTTTAAAATAACAACCGAAACGTAATATGTGATAAGACAGCTATAGTACCTAAAGTAAAAAAGACTTTAATTTTAATCTTTAAGTTTAGACAAGATGTTAGTGATACTAGTATTATATGATCTGTGGTGATAGGTAGTAATTATTCTAGACTAGTGGCTCGCTTCACTCGGATTCGTCCCTAGGTACGTTTTAACAGTTAGTATGGAATAGATAGACTATATATTATTATATTATACTAGCAGAACCCGCGGCTTCGCTCGCGGTAAAACTACAAAAAATCTCAAAAAGGTAGTTTCATACAAACTTTCATCCTTTATTTTACCCTCTTATAGGATGAATTTCGAAAAATACTAAAACACGTATTTATTTAATTTTATCGAAGAGCATTAACACCAAGTTTAGAGTAATTCTGATCGGAAAGATTTTTTGGATTGAATTATAAAGTGTTTTCCCGTGGGAATTAAGTAAACTCCCGCGGTAAAAAGTAGTCTATGTCACTCTCCAACCCTCCAACTATCTCCACACAAAAATCTCGGTAATCCGTCACTCCGTTTCGATGTGAAAAAAGAACAAACAAACACACTTTCACATTTATGATATTTGCATTATTATTATTATTGTTATGTACATAATATATTATAATTTTTCTTCAAATTAAACTTGACGTTTTGTTGTAGATGGTAGGTTCGCCACTATGGAAAATAATCTACTGAAATAGTGATTCCCATACAAAATAAACAGTTCTGAACTTTCCGATTTTCCAATTGTTCTTATTTAGGTTTTCCCTATTTTATTAATATTTAAACCACTCCTGACATATCCCTAACAAAACAAGGAATTATTAAAATCGCTCCAATCGTTTTTGAATTTTAACGAGACTAACAAACAGCAACAGATTTTTATATGTATATACTAGTGTCTTCCTGTAGTTCCGCCCGCGTAATTCTATTATTTATAACTATATTTTTGTATAAATTATAGTCTATGTACATATTTCCTTTTAGGTTTTGTATGAAAGAGTAATAAACACATATATTCACACATCCTTACAAATTCTCTTTTTTATAATATTTATTAGGACTCCGTAAAAACTTAAAGTATCCTCATTTTATATAGGCTTTTTCAGCAAGTTTTAGGTGAGCATTGTCTTATAATTATAAGGCTTTCTTAAAGTTTTGGTTAATTAGAAATTCAGCGAAATAGTAAAGACAATGCCATTTTATAATTATAAAGAGTACTATTCTTATGCTTTTATTCTGCCTGAAATATATAATAGTTCAAAATAAGTAATGAGTCTATGTTGTTACAAAGAATAATTGCAATTGTAACTTAATCAAATAAAAACGCTTATTTGTTAATATTGTAACTGAAAAATAGATGAATCTATACATATAAAAAATTCTGAGTCGAATCTGTAGATAAAATATTTTTTGGAGAATCTTATTGAAATAATCATTATAATTGATACAGAAGCGGAATCTATAGTTTTTAGAATTTTTTTTGTCTGTCTGTCTGCCTGTCTTGGAACGCGTCACGAGAAAACCACGGGACAGATTTTGATGAAATTTGGTATGATGATAGCTAGTTATCAGGGTCAACGTATAGGATACTTTTTCAGAAAATATCTCATCTCTGAGAAATTTATACTAAACGTTAAAACGTAACGTAAAATTAAAATTACATCACTATAAATACCGAGTGATTAAGGTTAATTGGTAACCATATATGGTAGTTAAAAGGGAGGACAATTAATGTTTCGCCGTTTATATAATTTAATAATAAATTCATAAAAACAATGATAATAAAGTCAATTCATAATTTTCCCTCTTGAAAATTCGATAGTGACATTACATTATATTTTTAATAGTTCGGATTTTTTCGCGCATTTATTTAGATTTTTGAGGGAAGTACACAAGCCAAATATCAAAATAAATCCGCGGAAAAATCCGAAAAGATAGTTTTATTTCAAATGTCAAATATTCGCGTAAATCTAAGAAAATATTACGTTATATGTTACAACTACATCATCTTATACATAAATAGGCAAAGATAAATCACTTTAGTACCTTTTTCTTGTGTGTGTCAACCGATTTTCTGTTTTTTTTTTGTTTAGTAGTTATTGGCTTTAGTGTTAACTAATTTTTTTTTGGAAACAGTTACTTTTTTGAAATAAATAGGTAAATTCTATTCATACATGTTTTTCTCATTTTTTTTTCGAACACAAGTTAGTATTAATGAAATATATACATATGTAAGTATATATGTAAATGTGAGTGATGTGATATTGCTCTAGTGCGGAATTAGAGTTTTCAATTTCAAAAAACATCGTAGGATATTTCTGAGTCCCTTGAAGGACAAATAAACACTGCGTATTTACTCAATTAAAATTTTCATTTCCCATTTTTATTAATAGAATTTTATTTATCTTAAACAAAGTCCACAAATGGCAAATGGAGACACCAAAAATCTGTATTTAGTTGCTCTCGTAGCAACGAGAGAATGTGGAGAAAAGTAAAATACTTTTCCATTTCACATAAAATACTTCGAAACAGATCTTAATATCGGAGGTCACACATGTTAACACTGGAGTCTAAAGAATCTAGTACCTCCTTGGCAATGTATTCTCTCACTAA